TCCCCTCTGACAGCTGTCAGTCTGTTCCATGTATCCATGTCTGTTTCTATTTTGTCCATCAGTTTACTTTGTTCAATATATTCCACATGTGAGTGAGATCCTATGGTATTTGTCTTTCTCTGACTGGCTTATTTCTCTTAGGAAATAATCTCCAGGTCCATCCATACTGTCACAAAAAGTAAGATTTCCCTTTTTCATGGCCAAGTAGTATTCCACCGTGTAAATATACCACAGCTTCTTTATCCACTCATCTACTGATGGGCACTTGGGCTGCTTCAAAACCTTGGCTATTGTAAATAACACTGCAGTGAACACAGTGGTGCATATATCCTTTTGAATCAGTGTTTTGGGTTCCTTCAGATATATTCTGAAGTGGGATTGCTGGGTCAAAAGGCAGTAATAAAATTAAAAAAAAAAAAAAGAACACAAAAAAACCTTCCAGCCAACAAAAATCCTGGACCAGATGGCTTCACAGGTGAATTTTACCAAACAGTCCAAGAAGAACTAGCACCATTCCTTCTCAGACTATTCCAACAATGTCCAGAGGAGGGAAGACTTCCAAGCTCTTTTCAGGAGGACAGCATTATCCAAAATTCAAGCTGATTGGAAATTTGACAGTCAAGCAGCGGCCTTTAAAGTATACAAATATACCCTTTCAGGGGAAGGCTAGGAGATGGGCATTTTCGTCTGTGCCCTCTTCACTGAGAAGTTGAATGATAGCCAGCTAAGAACTGTTTCTTCCTTTGCTACAGTCCTATTGAGCTTGTGAACATGAACTCCACTGCCCATCAGAGCCTGGCAATCAAGGGGCTTCTCCTGAGTGGCAACCACAAAAACTGTCACCATACATACAAACCAAGGCATAAGATGTGTGTGCAAGCTACCCGCTGGGCATCAAACTACTACTGTTCTGCTGCACAGCAGGCTGTGCTAAGATAGCTATCACCCTCTGTGGTCTTTGGGGAGCATGACCATTGGCTCTTACATGTGTGTTTAATTAGGATGCAGCTATGAGAATAAGCTAATAGAGTTCTTACACAATAGACTGGGTGCCTCAGACTGTGGGCTTTCCTCTGTGCCCTAGGGGTGGTAGCTGGATAAGAGCTCTTTCTCAGAGTGACATTAGCATGATGGCAGAATGAGAAGGCTTCTTTGTCTCTCTCTTTAAATCTACAAGTTGGACATCTCTAACGCAACAAAGGTTTCTCTGTTTAACTCACTAGCACAACTAATAGATCCACAAATTGATACATCTGAAAGTGTGCATAATGGAATACATAGGAGAAGCAGGGAGGGGGAAGGTCAGAGAGAGTGCCTGCAGATGTGGTTCCCAGTACACAACAGCTGAGACCATGACCCCAGCTAATGTGACAGTGGTGAAGATTCAGGGTATGGACCTCTTACCACTGCTCAGTGGAAGATTAGAGGGGCAGAAGCAGCATTAGCACCTGAGAATCTGGCTCCCTCTCCCCACTTAGGCACAGTTTGGTAACAGCAGTGGAGATGTTTCTATGGCTTCTAAGCTACAACAGTCCAGTGAGATTAGAAACCCAGCCACCTCCCTCACATGCCACCCCCCCACCACCACAATGTGGTGCCCCACGACTCAGGTGACCTGGGCACGGTGGGGATACCCACCATCCAAGGCATCCAGGCATTGACTCCCATGACCACTGCGATGTTCACTACTTCAAATGCTCCAGCAGAGGAGCAGGGCATCAAACACTATGAATAACGAAAGTAACATGGTAACACAGAATGAAAATGACAGGTCTCTAAAAATCCAACTCCGAGTCATGGAAGATTGTGATCCATGAGAGAGAATTCAAAATAGCAGCCATAAAAAAACTTCAATGAGATCGAAGAAAACTCAGAAAGGAAGTTCAATGAGAAATTAATAAACGGGAGTACCTTGCCAAGGAGATTGAAACTTATTCAGGTCTTCTCTATTCTATTTGTTCTGTCAGTTACTGAGCAAGGAATGTTGAAGTCTCCAACCATTATTATTGGTTTATCTATTTTTCTCTTCAATTAAATAAATATTGTCTTATAGTTTTAAAGCTATGTTGCTGTTTGCATAAACAGTTCAGATGGTTATACCTTTTTTTAAAATATATTTTTTGATATTTTACAGAGAGGAGGAAAGGAGAGAGATAGAGAGCTAGAAACGTCTATGAGAGAGAAACATCGACCAGCTGCCTCTTGCACACCCCCTACCAGGGATGTACCCACAACCAATGTACATGCCCTTGACCAGAATGGAACCTGGGACCTCTTAGTCCACAGACCGACGCTCTACCACTGAGCCAAACCGGTTTCGGCAGGTTATATCTTTTTGAAGAATTATTTTTAATAATTAAATAACATGTCTATTCCGATAATATTCTAGTTATGAACTTTGCACCATTGTTCCAGTACCATTTTCAAATAGGCTTCTTTTCTCTATTGAGTTTTTAAAAATCCTTTTTTTAAAAAAAGTATATTTTATTGATTTTTTACAGAGAGGAAGGAAGAGAGATACCGGTAGTCAGTCACATTGATGAGAGAAAGTCATCGATCAGCTGCCTCTTGCACACCCCTTACTGGGGATGTGCCCGCAACCAAGGTACATGCCCTTGACCAGAATCGAATCCAGTTCCCTTCAGTCGGCAGGCTGACACTCTATCCACTGAGCCAAACCGGTTTTGGCTGTTTTTATATCTTTGACAAAAATCAACCATAAATATGTGGGTTAATTATGGGCATTATTCTGTTTCATTACTTTATATTCATTTTTTATTCCCCCAAATTTAAAACTATGGTGACTATTTTAGCTTCTCAAAAATTTTATTGTTGATACTATCACAGATGTCCTCACTCCCACCCCCTTTGCAAACCCACCTCCACCTAGCTTCTGCACCCCTTTCTTCTGGCCATCACCACACTGTCTGTCTATGGGTTATAGCTAATCCCTTCACCTTCTTTCACCCAGTTATTTTAGCTTCTTAGTCTTAAAATCAAGTTGCCTCTGGGCAAATATGTAAGGATCTTAAAAATCATCACAGTGAAGTCCAAGGAATGGAGATGTGAAAGATCCCCTTGGTCTCTTCCTGTGAAATTTTATCAAGTTGAACAGCTATAACTCAACAAAGGATTCCCTGCTCAACATGCCTGAAAGATTTTCATATTGAAGCATCTAAAGGTGGGCAATGGGAACAAACAGAGGGGGATGTGGTGGGGGGGAGGTGAGAAGGAGGAGACTCAGACTGGCCAGAGATGCAGCCCTGCAGCCAGGAGCTCATAGGGAGCTCAGCCCAAGGAGTGGGGTAGTGAGGGAAGCTCGGGCTCCTTTTAGTCAGGAGCAGAGAAAATCTGTGGGCACTCCTGCAAAAGGTAGCAGCGCAAACTGTGGTTGAGCTGAGAGACCAGGAATAAACTTAACAGAGGATGTGAAGGACATATATACTGAAAATTACAAAGCATTATTAAAAGAAATTAAAAAAGACACAACAAAATGGATAGATATTCCGTGTTCATGAATTGAGAGACTCAACATAGTTAAAATGGCCATATTACCCAAAGCAATATAGAAATTTAATGCAATCCCCATAAAAATCCCAATGTCATTTTTTAAAGAAATAGAATGAGAAGTCATCAGGTTTGTATGGAACCACAAAAGATCCCAACTAGCCAAAACAATCTTCAGAAAAAAGAACAAAGCTGGAGGTATTATGCTACCTGACTTCAAATTATCCTACAGAGCTATGATAATCAAAGCAGTATGGTATTGGCATATAAACAGACACACAGATCAGTGGAACAGAATTGAGAGCTCAGAAATAAAACCACATGTCTATGGGCAGATACTTTTCGACAAAGGAGCTAGAAACACAGAATGGAGAATGCTTCTTCTTTTTAAAATATATATTTTTATTGATTTTTTACAGAGAGGAAGAGAGAGGGATATGGAGTTAGACACATTGATGAGAGAGAATCATCGATCAGCTGCCTCTTGCACACCCCCTACTGGGGATGTGCCAGCAACCAAGGTACATGCCCTAGACAGGAATCGAACCTAGGACCTTTCAGTCCGCAGACAGACGCTCTATCCACTGAGCCAAACCGGTTTAGGCAGAATGCTTCTTCAATAAATGGTGCTTGGAAAATTGGAAAACCAAACTAGATTATTTAAAATGTGATCAAAGACCTAAACACAAGATCTTTTCTCACACATGCTCAACCCCGTCCATTATTCACATCCTCTACCACAGTGGGACATTTGCTACAACTGATGAACCTACATTGACATATCAGAATGTGTCTGTATTTCCCCCATTGATGGTAGAGTTTCCATCACAGTTTTAGCTACCTGTGCGGCTCCAAACAATGAGTGGGGCACACTCTCATTTTTGCAAGACCGAGGAAGGAAAAAAACTGAATAAGTTACCCTCATGCAGGTTACCTGTCTATGTTTTAATTCTCCTCCACCATCTGCCTGCTTTTGGTTACTTCTCACCAGGGAATAAACAAAAACCTTTGGTAGACTATCTTATATTTACTGTTTGCATTCTGAATTGCATAAGATGTGGGGGCACCATATATCTAGGGTTTAGTTTTAATCTTGTCATACTTGAGAGACAAATAAATATGATCTGGTTCCTTGCCCCCAGAGCAGGTCCTGGGGAGAGACCCAAACACACACTATGTAATTAGTGTTGACATACAGGGGGGGCTATTCACAGGGTTTGTGTGGGAGCTCAGAGGTGCATGGTCCTCTGAGTGGGAAAACAGGCATCAAATAGGATCAGAGATACACGGTGGGGGGGTGTTTGTGTGTGGAGAAATCAACTGGATAATAATAGGAGAGATGGATTTATGCATAGGAGTAGTAATCAGAAAAGAGGCCATGTTGAGGAGAATGGAAAGATGGAAGCAGGGAGGAGGGAGGAGGGAAGAGAGAGGAGGGAAGAGGGAGGAGGGAGGAGAGAGGAGGGAGAAGGGAGGAGGGAGGAGGTTGACAGGCAGGGAAGGAGACCCCTCTGGAGGCGGAAAGAGGCAGGACCACTTCCGGCAGGGGAGGGGGAGTGGACAGGCTCAGACCTAAGGAGAGGCTTGGAGAGAGCAGACGTCTTCTGGATCCAGAAGGACAAGGTGAGCTAAGGTGCCCAGCTTAATGAAAACTGTGGTGCCCTCTGGTCTGCAGCTTTGACCTGCCTGACTCCTTAAGCCCCTAAGTTTTGAAGAAAATGTGCTAGGCATTTGGGAGCTAACGGGCATTGAAGTGGTTGGGTTTAGAGGTGCCTGGATCCAGATCGCAAGGGAGAAAGGAGGGGGCAGAATCTCCTTTGGGCACAGAATGAAGAGATGTGGACTCTCTTAAGGCAATAGGAGGGCGGGATGCAGACCCATTTGGTACTGCCGAAAGGAGAGAGAGAGAGAGAAATCCTTCAGGCTGTAGAAGGGATGGAGCAGAACCCAGTTCTGGAGAGAGACAAGCGATGACAGAAATCTTTAAGCCCGGAGAAAGGTATCAGGACCTGATTTGGGCCACAGAAAAAGGGATCGGGACTTAGAGAAAGGATGAAGCAGAATGCCTTTTGAACGGCTGCAATAACCCGGATCAGAGGGAAGAAAAGAGGGACCAGTACCCGGTAGATTTTGGTTTGAGAAGGGAAGGGACCGAACTTGGTAGGTTTCAGGAACAAGGAATATACAAAAACGTAATACCGTTGGATTTGTGGGTGAGGTGTCCATGTTGCAGAAAGGATGGGACTGATCAGTTGTAGACGTGGATAAGAGGGGGCGGTCTTGGGAGAGGGGCAGGGACTTACTGCAGAGCGGAGGGAGGGGGCACATTAAAGGAAGGGGAAGTACGGAGAACTGCTGCAGAGCGGAGGGGGGAGGGAGGGAGAGGGCACACCGAGGGGGGCTTTGAGTGGCTGTACTGCAGAGAAGACGTGGGCGGTGTTAGGGAAGGGGCGGAGCACAGTGGTACTGCAGAGAAGAGGGAGGGCGCCGGCTTTGAGGGAAAGGGACTGAGATGTGATGCAGTTAGAAGGAGTGGGAGGAGATGTTGAAGGGGGGTGGGGGGAGTGTGTGGGATGGAGGTGGTCAGACTATGGTTCACCAAAGCCGCTTGCGCTCTGAGGTCCTGAGATGGGCGGGGCTCTGGGTGTTGCGCATACGCAGAATCGAGTTGCTGCAGACTTGTGTAGGGTAAAGAGGTGGGAGGGAGAACTGACTGGTGGATGGTTAGAGGCAAAAGGAGGTAGACTTCACAAACCAGATGGTCTGGGTTTCTAGGTATGAGAACCTCGGAGCTGAAGGTTGGGGGCCCAAGTTTAGATGAGGTTGCCCCCCTCCTTCAGAAAATCTGGTGAATCTCCTCCTCCCTCTCATTCCATTCTCCCCTAACTCAGACCCCTTCCCCTCAGGTTCAGCTGTTGCATGACCTCCCAGAAAAATGGATAGGAGAAATGACCACGGTTATAGGATGCCCCCGGTCCAGGTGAGGCCCCTCTGCATTCTTGCCAGGCCAGCTGTGCCATCTTGAGTTCGCTTCCTGCTTTGAGCCCCCTACCACTCTGTAGTTGCATAATTTTCTGACTAGCCCGTCTCAGTCCACCCCTGCGTGGTGGAGGAGGAGGAGGAGAAAAAAAAATATAAGGCCTGACTCTTTCTTTTGCTCTCTCCCTTTTCCCTCCCCCTCCCCCTTTCAATCACTGCTCAGAGGAAGGGGAGACCTTCATGGAAAGGGTGGGCTGTAGGGAGATCAGACGAATCAGCAGAACATAATCCTAAGTGTATAGGGCCCTCTGCCTACCCCTGGGAGCTTGGGGCTTCACTTCCATCCAGATGTACAGTGTCTTGCTGATGCATCCCCTCTTGGCAGCAACAAAGGACCCCCTGGCTATGGACCCACCAGTTGCCAACCGACCTAAGAAAAGCAAGACCAAGAAGGCCCCCAATAAGGCTGTTACTGACACAATACCTGTTGCCCCCTCAGTCCCATCTGCCAATGTGATTACCATCAACAAGCCTACATACAATACCTTTGCAGGCTTTAAAACTGCCAATGAGCCCCCAGATCAGCGAGGCTTCAGCTACCACTGAGGCAGCTAATATTCAGGCTTCTTCAGTCACCACTCAGTCTAAGAAAGCCCACGAGACCAAGAGAGTTACTGCTAAGGCAGCCCAAGGCCCTCAATCTCCAACTGGCAGTGAGAGTGTCACTATACAGATCAAGTCACCCTTGAAGGCCCTCAACCTATCAGTCATCCCACAGACTACCCTGGCTCCACTTGCCAGTGAGTCAGAAAATTCCCAGGCCTTAGTAGCCTCCATCAAGCCTAAGAAAGCTTCCAGGATAAGGCCATGCATAATTCCACTGAGATCTCACTGACTTCAAACACCATCCACACAGCTACCACCCAAGGCCAAATCACCAATGAGACAACCAATACCCAGGCCACAGCAGCTTCCAGTCGAACTAAGAAAGCCTCCTAAGACAAGAGGGCAACTATTAAAGGCACAAATACTGACACTGTCCTAGGGGTCCCAAATATCACTGAGAGAGGTATCAGGCAGATTGAGGCCTTAGCAGCAGCTATCAGGCCAAGAAGGCTGCCAATAAGGGCATACGTTTTGCCTATGAGATCTCTGAGGCCCCATCTGCTGTTCAAATGGTCACAAACCAAGCCCTAGCTGCCACCCTCCGGGTCAAGAGAGGGTCCAGGGCTCGGAAGACTTCCACTTAAGGCCCGGGTAGCTGAAACTCAGATTCAAATTGTTGATCAAGGAGCTCAGGCCGAGATGGCCAGCTCTGAGACCAACTTAAGTACCCTTGAGACTCAGGTTGCTGCTGCTGTCCAGGCCCTGGCAGATGACTACCTGGCTCAGTTGAGTCTGGAGCCCACAACCAGGACCCGGGGCAAGAGGAACCGAAAGGTGAGATCTCTGACATCACAATCTGTTCATTTATTCTATAAAATTTTACTGAGCCTTTTTACCTTGAGACAGACTCTGGGTTCAGATAGGATGTGAGACATGCTGAGAAGAATATGACATAGTTCCTGCTCCCTGGCAGTTCACAGATTGGTGGGAAAATAAGACATCCATATACTTAACTTCAACCTAGATATAATGCAACATGTGTTTACATAGTAGTTACCATGTACCAGGCTTTGTGCTGGGTACATTCATACAGGTTATGTTTTCATGTTTTGAAAGTAACTCTTACCAGCCAGGGACATATGTCCCAGTTTTACAGATAAGAACCTTGAATCCCAGAAAGATGAAGAGTCTTGTGTAAGGGGTACAGCTAGCAGAGTTAGTGGTGGCCAAAGAGGAACCCCAGGCCCTGCCTCTGGGTTGCTCCTCTCCTAGCAAGGGAAATGAAACTCCTGCCTGGAAGACAGGGAAAGACAAGTCTAGGACTCGGGGTGGTCAAAAGTAAGGTCAGGACCTCCTGCAGGAAGGGTTTAAGGGACTTTCAGGAAGAGGTAGGATAAGGAGACAGAGCCATCTCTTTCACCTGGTGACTCTGGACCTTCTTTCTGATGATGCAGTTCAAGCATCTGACTGGGCATGAGAGAGGTGGCCGTAATTACAGGTGGAATCCATGGGGCCAGAGGCCTCCGCCACCCCGAGATGTGGCCATTTTGCAAGAAAGGGTAAGAATCCTATGCTGCCCAGTCTTTTCTTCACCTGCCCCCTTCTCTGGCATTCTTCCAAGTGTTCTAAATCACATTGAGATTTCCCTATGTATTCCTCTTCTCCCAGGCAAATAAGTTGGTGAAATACCTGTTGGTTAAGGACCAGACAAAGATCCCCATCAAGCGCTCAGGTAGAGTCATGCATACCCTCCTCCCTTAGCTCTCTTCTCACTCCCCTCTCCCCCATACCCTGGGTGTTATTTCCTTCATATGTCCTCCCTTACTCTCCTCACACTGTGTTAATGGCATCTCCCATTAAACATAGTTTAGGACTCAGACTGCAATGACCCCACAGGGCTTGCTAAAGGGTTGCAGCTTTGTGGTCTCTGCTCAGCCCAGGTGCTCCCACCTCTCCCCTCCTGCAGACATGCTGAAGGATGTCATCCAAGAATATGGTGAATATTTCCCAGAGATCATTGAACGAGCAAGCTACGCTCTGGAGAAGGTGAAGGGGCAGCCCTGGGGGATGGGTGCAGTGGTGAAGCCTTGAATCAAACAAAGGTGTACATGGCCCTTCTTGGGGGGATTAAAGAGACTAACTCAGCCCCATCACTGTGCAGTTGGGCAGACAATGACTTAGGGAAGTGCATAGACTTGCCAAGAATCACACAAGTCAGTGGTAAAAGCACATCTAGGACTCAAGCCAACCAACTTAGTCCTAACTTCTGTCTACTGCTGGACATGTCATAGAATGTATTCCAGATGCTCACCTCTTCCTTCTATTCCTCATTCTCTGTTTTCCTAGATTACCACTAATCACAAGGGTGATTTGATAAAATATTGATAACAATTGCACAATGCTGGCCTCATATCTAAGTACACACACACACACACACACACACACACACACACACTGGCCTCTAGGTACAAGGGGAGCTGTGGGATGCTTAGGAAGCTCATTGATGCCTAGCCTGAATTTTGTTATCTCACAGGTTATTCTTTTACTTGGCAGATGTTTCGAGTCAATCTGAAGGAAATTGATAAGCAAAGTAGCTTGTATATTCTCATCAGCACTCAGGAATCCTCCGCAGGCATACTAGGAACGTAAGCTGGGAAAGGGCCGGGTGGGAGGGAGGCTTCTGCTTTTGTCCATGGTACTACCCCATCACTGTCTTCTGTCCCACATGCCCTTAGAGAGCCAGGAAAAACAGGCCTGAAGCTCGTTCCAGCTCCCTCATGTAGCTGGAACCCTGCCCACAGAAGTTGTGCCTGGTTATGATGGACTGAAGGGTGTCGAAGCCTGGGGCGGGCATGCCTACTGTCAGGTTGTCTGTTTGTCCAGAAGCTTCCAGGAACGCAGCCCTGTCATTGCCTGTCTCTTCCTACTGGTCTTGTGGAGTGGTTCTCCAGGGAGGCCTTCCTGGTGTGGGTGGATCACGATGCTCGAAGGGAAGACACATCGGTGGCTGTGAATTCTCTGGTGGCTGAGGGTCCTGTGAGAGCAAGAAGGACCTCACACTGACTGAGTGCCTGTCCTCTCAGCAGCCCGGGGAGGGGAGGATGTGATTTCCCATTTCACTGACTAGGAGACTGAGGCTCGGGGGTCTAAGTGTCTTGCCCAGGGTCACGTGGAGCTGGAAGCATAGACTGGGCAGAACTCTCCCATACCTGAGAAACCTGAGAGAGGCTAGCCTAGTGAGCTGGCTGGTGTGTTTTCTACAGATGGCTGGGGGTCATAAACATTCTCTCTGTCCTGTTATTCCCCTAGGACCAAGGACACACCCAAACTAGGTCTTCTCATGGTGATTCTGAGTGTCATTTTTATGAATGGCAACAAGGCCAATGAGGGTGAGTGGTTGAGCATGCAGCTGAATGGGTGAACGTGGTCAGAGTTCCACATGTTCATTTTCTGTCCCTCTCCTCTTGCCTCTCCTTCCAGCTGTCATCTGGGAGGTGCTGCGCAAGTTGGGGCTGCGCCCGGGGTATGATTGGGCTCTCTCGGCACTTGCTGTCCGTGTTGTCCTTTGGCAAGAGAGGATGGTCCCAGGATCACATCAGCCTGGTGGTCTGGTGGAGCGGGCGGGGGTGTCGGGCTGGGTAGATGGTCCATGTCTCTGATCTGGGTGATTGGGGAAACTAGTCCTTAACTCCTTGCTCCCTCTCTCCTCTATGTCCTCTGTTTGTTCTAAGATGAGATATAAGATAGTCCTTCAGGGTATCCTTGGCAAAGAACCATTTGGCCTCAGCTGCATACTTCTAGTGATCATGTATGTGTTTACTGTTTTTCTGGTTTCACGAAGATGGCCACATGTGCTAGAGAGGTGTCTTCCATGTTGTAAAATGCCTCTGTCCTCATCTGGGAAGTTCTGATCTCTGTTCATGGGTTATTTTTCCCATTGTCAGGGTGAGGCACTCGCTCTTTGGGGAAGTGAGGAAACTCATCACAGACGAGTTTGTGAAGCAGAAGTAAGTGGTGTTTTGGGGGCATTGTCAGGCCCTGAAGTGTTTGGGGCATGTTGATCTGGTTCAGGAAGTGCTTTATAAGCCCCTTTCTTACACTAGCTTTAGAGGTATGGGCATTCTGTGCCCCAAATCTGAGGCTTGTCCACAATTCCCATGGGTGGGACATCCCAAGGCTGGGCCAGATCAAACACAAGGCTCTTGTTAGGGGGTGTGCTCAGAGCAGAGTGTCTGAAGAATGGCTCCTCTGTTTACAACACACCCAACAGGAACTTGGGCTTACTCCTCACAGGTGGCAGGGTTCATTGGCCTCTCTGTGACATCATGCCCTACACATGCCTCCTCTGCAGCACCCAGTGACTCTTTGGCACAGAGCCCATGGGAAATGGCTTAATAGTGGAGACCATGAACGATGTTTAGGAGTGAGTCTAGGGATGAGGGGGTCTTGGAAATCTTCTCCAGGAGCTGAGTTTAGTGTTTGAGGAAGTTGCCACCTAGTTCCCAGTGGTTAGATAACAGATTTGTTTGTTTAGAAGCAAGTTTCATTTCATTTCTCCAAGGTACCTGGAGTACAAGAGGGTCCCCAACAGCAGACCACCTGAATATGAGTTCTTCTGGGGCTTGCGCTCCTACCATGAGACTAGCAAGATGAAAGTCCTCAAGTTTGCCTGCAAGGTAATAGGAGACCTGCCCTGACTTGGCATATTAACGGTATGGGTTGTTCCTGATTGGGGCAGACTGTGTAGGGATGGGCAGGTACAGGGCAGCCTGCAGTTCACATATAAACATATGGAATTTAATTTTGTTCCAGATGCTGCTCAACATAAAGTTTACATTGTTTCATTCATTCTTCATAGTTTGCATTAGTATGCTCAGAATGTTATAACAAAATACCATAGATTGGATGGCTTAAATGACAGAAATTTATTTTTCCATAGTCCTGGTGGCCAGAAGTACCAGATCAAGGTATAATAGTGTTAGTTTCTGCTGAGGTCTCTTTTCCTGGAAAGCAGATGGATGCCTTCTTACTGTGTCCTAAGATGGTGAAGAGAGAGCCTCTTCTTATGGGGACACTAATCCTATTGGACCAGAGCCGCACCGTTATGACTTCATTTAACTTGATCTCCACAAAGGTCCGATCTCCAAATACAGTCACATTGGGGGTTGGTCCATCAACATATGAATTTTTGGGGGAGACAGCAGTTATGACACATTTACTCTCTTATTAGATGAAGACACTTGGGCTCAATGAGGTTAAGTAACTTATCCAAGATCACACAGTACCTGTCATTAGAGCTGAAATTGGATCTCAAGACTGACCCATGATAGTCTTGTAAAATATTGCTACTAGTTTTATACAAATCCCATAATATGCACTTAATACATAATTATCAGGTTATTTTCTTTATAATGATTATCATTCCCATTTCAGGTACAGAAGAAAGACCCCAAGGACTGGGCTGCTCAGTACCGGGAGGCAGTGGAAATGGAAGTTCAGGCCGCAGCTGTGGCTGTGGCTGAGGCTGAGGCCAGGGCTGAGGCAAGAGCCCAGATGGGAATTGGAGAGGAAGCTGTGGCTGGGCCCTGGAATTGGGATGACATGGATATCGACTGCCTAACACGGGAAGAGTTAGGCGATGATGCTCAGGCCTGGAGCAGATTTTCATTTGAAATTGAGGCCAGAGCCCACGAAAATGCAGATGCCAGCACCAACATTGACTTCGGCAGAGGAGCTGGCACAGCAGCTAGCTTCCACAATGGTGCTAGCATTAGCTTCAGTGGTGCGCCCAGCCCCAGTGGTGGTGGCTTTGGTGGCAGAACTGGCATTAGCTTTGGTGGCACACCCAGCACCAGTGCCAGCTTCAGCAGCACAGCCAGCGTTAGCTTTGGTGGCACACCTTATACCAGTGCCAGCTTCGGTGGTGGGGCCAGCTCTAGTTTCGGTGGCCCACTCATCACCACTACCAGTTTCAATGGTGGGGCCAGCCCTGGCTTTGGAGGCACACTGAGCACCACTGCTGGCTTCAGTGGTGCTCTCATTACCAGTACCAGCTTTGGCAATGCTCCTAGCACCGGTGCCGTCTTTAGTGGTGCACTTAGCACCAGCACTGGCTTTGGTGGCACACTCAGTACTAGTGTCTGTTTTGGTGGCTCTCCCAGCTCTGGCGCCAGCTTTGGTGGCACGCTCAGTACTAGTATCTACTTTGGTGGCTCTCCTAGCACCAGCACTGGCTTTGATAGCATCCTCAGCACCAGTGTCTCATTCAGTGGCTCTTCCAGCACCATCGCTGACTTTGGCAGCACACTGAGCACCAGCATCTGCTTCAGTGGCTCTCCCAATCCTAATGCCAGCTTTGGTGGTGCTATCAGCACCAGTGTCGGCTTCGGCGGTGCGTTCAACACCAGTGCTGGTTTCAGCAGTGCTGTCGGTGGTAGCCCCGGCTTTGGTGGTGCACCCTCCACCAACTCTGGCTTTGGTGGTATGTTCAGCACTAGTGCTGACTTCACTGGGGCACTTAGCACCACTACCGACTTTGCAAGTGCCCCTAGCACCAATATTGGCTTTGGTGCAGGTCCCAGCACCAGCTTCTTTGGTAATGTGCCTAATACTAACCTATGCTTTGGTGGCCCTCCTAGCACCAGCGCATGCTTCAGTGGAGCTACCAGTGCCAGTTTTGGTAACGGGCTTAGCACCAGTGTGGGTTTTAACTTTGGTGATGGGTTAAGTGCCGGCAGTGGATTTGGTGGCGGACTGAGCACCAGCACTGGCTTCAATGGTGGACTGGGCACCAGCACTGACTTCAATGGTGAACTAGGCACCAGTGCTGGCTTTGGTGGCGGACTGATCTCCAGCGATGGCTTTGGTGGAGGACTGGGCACCAATGCTGGTTTTGGCAGCACACTTGGCACCAGTGCTGGCTTTAGTGGTAGCCTCAACATCAGTGATGGCTTTGGTGGTGGGCCTAATACCAGCTTCGACGGAGGACTGAGTACCATCATTGGCTTTGGCAGTGGTTCCAACACCAGTATTGGCTTTAATGGCGAACCCAGCACCAGCATTGGCTTCAGTGGTGGACCTAGTTCTATCGTTGGCTTCGGCGGTGGACTGAACACCGGTGCTGGCTTCAGCGGTGGACCGAGCAACAGTGCTCCCTTTGGTGGTGGAGCCACCAGCCTTGGTGCCTGTAGCTTCTCCTATGGCTAGTGAGGTTTCAGGTAATTACAGCATTTCCATAGCCAAGGCTATGCATATAAGTGCTGGGGAATGTTATAAGAAACCCCGAGGTGGGAGGGCAGGGTGGGGAGATGAAGACAGTGGAGGAAGTATGAGAAAACAGTATAATTGATGGTAAAATATGTTCCTTTTTGGTGTTTTGATTTCAGGTTTATGAGCCACATTTACAGACACCACTAATGAGCTACAGCAGTCCTTCCTTCCCATGGAGCCAAGGAACATCCTTGGGATCTGTGTCCACCCAGCAGTCTAAGCAGATACTACCAATCAGCCGAGGTTGTCATGCTATGACAAATCCAGTTGCCAATCCTGCTTCATTGTTCGCTTTCTGTGTGCTGTTGTTGTACTTTGGGTATCAGCATTATATTAAATTTGCAAAATGAACTGCAGTTGTTTTCTTTCTTTATTATGCTTAATTGTTGTGCGTGACATTTTGAGTTCATAGAAGAGCTAACGATTGGCATAGCTCTTTGGGGAATGTGGGGTCCAGCTTTAGGCTAAAAGGAAAGGATTACTTCAGTGGGATAGAGACCTGGGGAAAGTATGGCAAAGCTATGAAGGGGGAAAGCCTGGAACAGAATGCATAGGGAGAAGGTAATTATACAAGGACAGTAATTCTACGTTCATTTTGAGATGGTTGTGTAAGAATGGAGTGGGGGTAATTAGAGGGTGACACAGGAAGAAGGGAGAGCTTTATTGGGATAGGAGAAAGACCTGACCGTGTTGCATAGACCGTTGGGGCAAAAGCCAACAAAAAAGGACAGGAGACAGAAAAAGAATAGTCATGAATTGACTGAAGTGGGCAATCCCTGAGAAGGTGGGGTGGGCTAGAGTACCAGAAAATACTGTACGAGTTTGTCTTTTCAGCACTGGGTTACTGGTTCCTGGTCAGCAATACTAAGTGTATGTCTGCTGTACAGAAGGCAGGCTGCTAGGGATCCCGTGCATGACACAGAAAGTTGTAAGGACTACGGGTCTGTGGTCAGATAGTCGGATGCTTGTATTTAAGAAGTCACACTGTGGAGAAGTATTCATGTTGCCAATGTCCATGGAATGGGTGGTCATGGAGTTGAGGGGGACTGGGAGACTAGGGTATTCTTTGGACTATTGACATGGACAGGGACAACACTCAGAATGGCAGCAAGAGTTGGAGAAGACAGGAGCACTGTGGTCCAAGTTCAGCTTCTCTGAGTATAGGGGTGAGGATGCCATGCCCCAGGAACATTGCCCACCAAAGAACAAAGCCCATAGGCAGACACAGAGACCTATCTCCTCCCAGAAGTCTTTCCTCTAGGAAGCTCTCACCCATTCCACATCCCCACATCATCAGAGCCACTTTGCGGGGTCAGGATCTTCAGAAGACCCTGTGGGAGAAGCTTCACAATGACCACCTCTCCCCTCTTAGAGGCAGTAAGAGAAGTTTTCATTGATCAGAGAATGAAAATTAAGAAGAAAGTTTCATCCAGAGCTAGACAGCTCCTTGGTTGTAGTTAGAAATCGACACCTGTTTTGGATCTGCCGAGTGCTTCTTCACTGGAAGCAGGATCTCCCAGTGAGGCCAAATCCAAAGTCTTCTCAGTGTAGAAGAGCAAGAATAGAAGCTTCTAGAGGTGGAAGACAGGAAAGAGGTAGTTTGACTTCCGGAGAGGGCTCAGTAGTGGGCAGGGACAGTGTCCAGGGCTTCCTCAGGATCTCGAGTGATGTCCACATTCTGAGAAGAAAGCCCAGGATTAACAGGAAGGAGACAGCAGTGTGGAGCCCCAGCCCATCCCCTGTGGGCTGTCCTCACTATCAGGCTCCCCTCCCTCAGCCAGGCCTGCATCCTGACCCTTTTCTCAGGAGAGCCTGGAGGAGTCTGGTCTGAGGCCTTTCTGGCAGGGGTTGCTCTAGCCCTGCATCTCCATGGTGCCTCCCATCTGGGCAGAGGATCCAGCATTTCTAGGTGCTGGTTATTCTAACTGATGGTGCAAAACACCCAAGGTCTGTGGCACCGGGGTGGCCCTTTGGGTGGGGAGGGTGCTTTCCCATGTGCCCGCGTACCTCAGGCTTCTCTCGGTGTGTGTTTACCGCCTCCACATTCAGGTAGATGGACTCCACTTTGCATCCTCAAAAAGAAAAACCCATCCATCCATAAGCTCCCAAGGCAAGACTGTCTTCCCTGAGGTGTCATTCCTCAACATGCCCATCACCATCAACTCCCCAGCTCCATGCTGTGTGTAGTTGTGACTTTTCTGTAGGGAGGGAACTTAGACCAGCTCTGTGTGGAGAAGACACCCAGCCTAAGAGGCCACCAAAGAGACATCCTCCCAGCTCTTCCCCTAATCCTCTCAGTGGTCTCTGAGGCTCAGTTGCTCAGCTGCCAATGGCGAGAAGAGAAGAGATGATCTCCAGGCTCCTGTCTGTGGGACAGCACTCTAGTCTAGATAATAATGGTGGAGCTCTGCGATCCTCCCAGCTCTGTCAGGTGGTGAAGTGGCGGAGGAGGTCTGGGCCACTGCCTTGAGACCATCAGCCCCAGATTAAGTGTAATTAGAGGACAGTGGTAATGGAACCTTCAAGGTGTGGCGGTCACAGGGAGCCTGGAGGAGGATGGTGGTATCATGGGGCTGGGGCTGGCAGAGGAGACCCAGTGCCTAAGGAAGCCCCCTTAGCTCCATCTCTGGGTTGCACTCTACTCTGGGGCTCAGTTCACTATGTGTCCTGTTCACAGTCAAGAAAGATTTGTCTGCCACTTTCCTACTCATGAACATTTCACAGCTAACTAATGCCCCAAGGGAGAGTCTAGCCTTTGAGGCCTTTTTTCAATCTCGCCCCAACATACACTTAATTGTTCCTCTGGTCCCCTTTGGAGACTACTCTCCCCCACCCCACCCCTGCCACCCTGCTACAGTTTGGTGTTCTATGCTCAGTGCTCATCTTGCCACCACCAAGCCCACCTCTACCAGAACATCCAACTACCCATCCAAGGAACCTCCCCTAGGACTCTATTGGGCAAATGGTAGGTACTAGAGGCATGCTCATGGCCTCTATGTGCCTTTCCCCAGATAAAGGTGGGGGTGTGTGTCTCACCATAAGCCACAGGTGTGAGTTTGAGCACTGTGTGCAGAGGGCACTTGAGATACGGCAGCTCATCTGGAAAGGAGGAGAAAGCAGCCATCAGAGACAGGGTGCTGGAGGGTGGGGTCCCAGCCCCAGGCCTGCAGCTTTACAGCATGCTCACTGTCCACAGCCCTTCTGCATGGTCACCCTCCCCTGAGATCTCTTCCCTCACAGCCTGCAGGGTGACCAGCGAGGATGAGAGCAGAGGGGAGACAGGCAGGCCCTGGGGAATGCAGCCAGACTGTGGGTCTCCTGGAATGGTCAGGATGGCCTCTAAACCCTCCCCACTTCCCACCCCACCCCCAATCCCGGTTCTTCCACAGGCTCCCTGACCACAGAGGCCCACAGTGCATCTCCAAAAGGGGTTCCTGAGACCCTACTGCACAGCAGACCCTGTGATGAGGTGTGTGAGTACCTGGGCAGCCTGCACAGCTTTCCCCCGACCCAGGCCTGCACCCTCTGACTCCTCTCACTCTTTGATGGGCCCTTGTTTCCAGTTATTGACCATGATGCATAAAGTTCTCTCAATATCCATGTATAATTTCGTGTATGGACCTAGGTTGTATTTACCAGATAGTCCCGAGGAAGGGATGATCAGGCCCATTGCACAGATGAGGAAAGCGAGGCTCTCAGAGTGAAGACACTCGTCCTAAGGCACACAGCCAGGGAGTGGCAGCCCTGGGCCTGAAATCCAGAACCCTCTGAGTTCAATTGTGTGCTCTGTCCACTGAAGTCTGCTGCCATTCTTTGAGGGGTTCAGAGTATCTTGGGTTGACACCTTCACCTGCCCATCCACCCATACTGTCCATACCACTCCCCACGTCCTTTCATTAAGCCAGAACCCACCCTTCATGGCTTCTCATCCCTAGAATCCCCCCTACACTTAAAAAATAGCTTTTATTGATTTCAGAAAGAAGGGGAGAGGGAGAGATAGAAACATCAATGATGAGAGAGAATCATTGATCAGCTGCCTCTGGCAAGGCCTCCCACTGGGATGAAGCACCCCTACTGGAATAGAACTGTGACCTCCTGATTTATAGGTCAATACTCAACCACTGAGCCATGCTAGCTGGGCCCCTGTTACAGTTTTAAGGGGCCTGCCAATGCCCTCCCAGCCACCTGAGACATCTGTTTTGGCAATTTCCTAGGTGTCTATACTGCTCCTTCTCCTCCTCTTGGTCAGCATCACTGTCAGGCCCTGGGCCCAGCACTTTGGTGCACCATCTCCTTCCATCCTTGCTGATACTCTGCAGGAGTTACTATTCCTCATGGCAGACGTGAGAGAACAAACTCAGAATAGGGAACCCACTTGCCTGAGGTCTCTGACCCTGCTCTGCCACGACCCCCACAAGTGGCCTGGCCTTACCTTTTCTCTCTCTGGCTCCCAGAGTTCCCATCTCTCACAGCATAGGATTGGATTAGGTGTACTCCTAGAGTGCCCTAGCTGTGAGGTCTGCGGGGTCTGCATCCTTAGTCACATCATCTCTCTGGGCCTCACATTCCTCACCTGAGTAATAGGGGTCGGAGCTTGTTCTCAGCCTGCCTGGCTCAGCTCCCAGGGTAGCTGTGAACAGCTGGTGTGTCCTGTGCATGAAAGCAGGTAGGAAGTGGGTAAAGTAGTGTGCCATGCACGAGCCACCCACACATCCCATGTGTGTGTGAGAAGGGAAGGCTTCTGAAATGCATCTGGGATTAATGTCCCTCCCAACCCCGCTAAGCCCTGAGACTTAGGTAGGGCCAGTCACTTGACCTCTCAAAGCTGCCATTTTCTCAACTGCGCAGTCAGGTTACTGTGGTTGCCTTGCAGTCTCAAAGATAACACCGAGCAGCGGATGTGTGGATGGTATCAGAAATCTAGCAGCACAGGGACACCCCCCCCCCCCCCACCCCTTTTCAGTGAGGAGACTGAGGGAATGTTCTGTCCAATGTGAAGTTTTCAAGTTCCCCAGGTTCCAAATCTGGATGACTCTATATTACAAGTGCCCTTGATTTTGAAGTTAATGACATAGAAACAATACAAATCTGCAAACACTGGCCACTTCAAATATGGCTTTGCGCTGTCTTCACACACCCTCCCCGTGTCCAGGAGATGCCAACACGTCGGCATCCCTGTCAGAAGTGGATTCTCTCACTTGAGGGTGGCACAATAGTCTTTTGCCAGACCACCTGCCTGAGTCTGCGATTCAGTATGTATATTCAGTGTATAAATACTCAACAATGTCTAGACATTTTTAGAAAAAGAAATAATCCTTTAAATGTAAAACAATGGAAACACTAGGTTGAGAAAATCACCTCTACAGCAAATACAGAAACCTAAAATCAGAATCATGAGGTCAGGGAAGGTCCATTACCACCTGCTGACAGCATGCTTCAGAGAAATACTAGCTCAGCTTTTCCAGATCAAGGCAGATTGTTAAGGCCAGCTTTGAAGACGTTAGCTCAGAATGGTATTAATACTAATAATAGTCGCCAAGACTTACGTAGCTCACGCTATGTGTCATGAACTATTTTAAGCTCTTTACACATTTTGATTTATTTAAACTTCATCATTATCTTCCCAATTTTACAGATGAGGGAACCGAAGCCAGGTTAAAGTAATTTGCCAAAGCTAAGAACTTGAACTCGGGCATATTTGTTCTAGACACTGTGCTCTTAACTACTAAGATATAAACGACCAATTTCTAGTGTCAGGGTCTCAAATGACATCCAGTTCTCTATGCCAGGAACAGAGAGAACAGTGGTACCTGAGCTCTTATCCAGGAAGTAGGCCAAGAGGCACCGCATGACAGCTTGGTGGCAGATCACCAGCACATTTTCCTGCCGTTCTAGCTCCATTATAACTGGCTCCAACCGCTGAACCAGATCCTCGTAGGACTAAAAATAAGAAAATACTTCTGTAAGAAAGGGAGATGAGGCACATTTGCTCAGAGGAGAGGAACTCTAGACTAGAAATCAGGAAAACCTGGATGTGGTACTACAATAGATCAGCTGTTGACCCAGCAGTACGACCTTAAGCAGTTCACTTCCTCCTTAGGGTCTTGGTTTCTCATCTGTTAAATGGGGAGCAATTAATATATTCAACTAGATATCTATAACAATAATAAAACTTCTCACTACAAAAAATTCCTAGAAAAGCTAGATAAAATAAATGTCCGCACTGCTGACTGTTCAAGAAAATCAAGAAAACATTATAAAGATAGGGTTCCAAAATGAAGAAAACCTTGGTAAACAAGAGTGCTAAGTGGATGTGGAAGCAACAACTGCCATGGAGGCATCTATAATCATGTTTTCCAAGAGGCTTGAGTTTTTATTTTATTATTATTGTTTAAATATATTTTTATTGATTTCAGAGAGGAAGGGAGAGGGAGAGATAGAAACATCAATGATGAGAGAATCATTGATGCGCTGCCTCCAGCACACTCCCTACGGGGGATTGAGCCCACAACCCAGGTGTGTGCCCTGACCCAGAGTCTAACTGTGACCTTCTGGTTCATAAGTTGATGCTCAACCACTGAACCACACTGATGGGTGAGGGTTGAATTTTTAAAACTTTATAGAGACATGAGACAAGGTCTTAGGTATACACAAAGTAGGGAGTTGGGACTGAATTTCTCCAATAAACCTGAGACTCTCAAAGGCCTATATCCTCAATAAAAGTGTAAACTAGAAAAAAAAAAGTATATATAGGCAAAGGGAAACAATAAGAACTTATATGTCTCTGACTCTGAGTATAAAAATTTAGAAAATGCCTCCTGTAAGAATGTACAACCACAAGTCTACCCTCAAGTGGGTTTTGGTTCAGAATATTATTATCCATGTGTTTTAGATAATGCTAAGCTGAGAGTTTAATAAAAAGTGATACAAGTTGTTAGCTTCTCAGAGTGTCTGGAAGAAGCAAATAGATTCTCTCAACTCACACCACATGAGAATCCCACAGATACATTTTTGCCAAACTGAAGCTCACAATACGCAAAGAAAAATAAACTATTATGAATGAAAATAAACAGAACAAACAAGATGAGAATCTTAAAAACTCAAGGTAAATAATCCAAAATATAAAATGAATGTTTAAAATTTTTTTTTAAATTAAAAGATGGATTGAAAAATATAAGAAAGAAATAAGATGCTACCAAATACACGACGTACATTTGAAACAGAACTAAATAGAATTCTAGGAACAAAATATATGCCCTACACTGGAAATTGAACCTGAGACCCTTCGGTGCATACGCCGATTCTCTAACCACTGAGAAACACTGACCAGGGCAAACGAGTAACTTTTAAAACAGAGGAATTTGTTGCCCATTGCCAAGAATCTGAGTCAGCCAAGGGCCAGATCATCACGTGCCTGTGGGGTGGCAGTTGCTGCAATATATGCTTTATTCTGTTTCGAAAGCAATCTAGGAAACTAAGAAACCTCGAGGGTTGGAATGAGGATACTGAGGAAGAGTTCTAGGAATCAGTCCACCCTTCAAAGCTTACCTCTCCCTTGGGATAGCGGTAGCGATATTTATCTTGGTCCCGTAGTGCAAATTCCTCAGGGTAATGTTCCTGGATTTCTTCATAGGTCATCTCCTCACAGACACCCTGAGAAAAATTATGTGGGGACAAAAGTATTCACATGGTGAAATCCACACAGCCTGGCTGCCTCCTCCACACCCCACACTGAGGATTAAGCCCGAAACCCAGGAACGTGCCCTGACTGGGAATTGAACTGTGATCTCCTGGATCACAGGCCGATGTTCAACCACTGAGCTGTGCCAGCCTGGCCAGCCTTTACCATAATTTTAAGGCCAAATGATTGTAGAACAGTAGCACCTAGGTTTCTGTGAACACAGCTTTAGGTTTGTGCATGTTGCCTGAGTGTGTGTGTGTGTGTGTGTGTGTGTGCATGAGATATGTGGCTGTGCAGATATGAGTACATGTGTACAGATGTGTTCCTATATGATTATCCCAACAGGTTTGTAGGTATATATTGTACATATGTGTATATATTTTTATAAATATGTGGGTTTGCCCTGACCAGTTCCTCAGTGGTTAGTGCATTGGCCCATGGACCAAACAGTCACGGATTTTATTCCAGGTGAAGGGTATTTATCTTGGGTGCAGATGCTCCAGCCCCTATAGGGGTGCGTGTGGGAGGTAACCAATCAATATGTCTCTCTCACATTGATGTTTCTCTCTCTCTCTCTCTCTCTCTCTCTCTCTCTCTCTCTCTCTCTCTCTCTCGTTCTCCTTCCCCCTCCTACACTCCTTAGAAATCAATGAAAAAATATCCTTGGATGAGGATTTAAAAAATAAATAAATAAATATGTGGGCTTAAGAATTTGTGACTTTGCATGTGTATGTGTAGCGTGCTTATGGTGTGTACCTGTGGTATGTTTAGGAATCTATGCTTTGTGTGTGTATATTTGTCGCATCATCTGTAGTGTGCTTATGTGATTATGTGTGTACAGGGTGTCTGAGCATCTGAGAAAGTGCCTCCATGAATGTTTCTGTGGTCTGTCTTTCCATATGTACCTCAGTGTGTCTGTGGCATGTATATCTGTGAGTATGCATGTCCCTGATTATGTTTCTGGTGGATATGTGTGAACATCTGTGTGCCTATGTCTGAAGCCTGTGTGAATTTGTGATAATATGCTCAAGGCTATGTGATATGCTGTCTGTATGCCCATTGTATGCCTCTGTGCTCATGTCATATAGAAATGTGCAAAGACTGCATGTGTGTCTATGGTGATTGTGATTGTGTCTGCATGTATCTCTAGGTGTGTCTTAAGTGTGTATGCGTCTGTGCATATGGTGTGGCTGTTAGTGGCAGATGTGTCTGAGAGAGAGCCTGTGTCTGACTAGTGTCCATGAAGTGCGTGTCTGTGACTGTAAGCATTCTGAGGTGAGTGTCTGTAACTGTGTGTGCAAGTTTATGCATCCACAGCAGGGTTCTCCCATTTCAGAGCATCTCTCATCCCTCCTGCCTCTATGTCTGCCCCAGGATCTCTGGCAGATAATCAGCTATCCACAGACATCTCAGAAGGCAAGATTTAGTAAATCCCTAACAGTTTCAGAGTGGGCCTATGGTAGATACACTCTCTTCCCAAAGAAGGAACAGAGCTCAGAGACTGTCCCTTAGGAGCATACGAGAGTTCCAAGTCCACTTAGAAATCCCCAGAAGTGAGGCGGCTGCTGGTGGGGTAGGGACGCTATGTTGAGTTTATAAGTTTTCCCATCTGGTTGTGTGGAGTCTAAGGATTAGACCCTCCTGTAGGGGAAGCAGCTGGCTCTGGTGTGAGGTTTGCCTCTTCCCTAGCCCACAAACAGCTATGCATTGTCAAACTTCTTCAACTGGCCCTGTGCATGGGAGAGAGTGTGCCCTACAGGACACACAACATCCTTTGACTTTCTATTCAGAGGCATTCTGTGAACCTGTTGCCAGTGGAAATGGTCACTGATTTCCTAATGACTTAAGGAAAACTGCCTAACCTCTCTGAATTTTATTTTCCTCATCTGCAACACGACGAGAAGTACAATTACCCCACAAGAGCGTTTTGAATATGAGAGATAATATGTGCAAAAGAGACTAGTACAGGATATCTAAGGCACATTTTAGAGACTCAATAAATGGAACCAATTATCAATATATTATTGATCATGGAAAACAAACCAAAAACATAGGCATCATTCTAAATTCTTGCTTCTTCCTTATCCACACCTTCATAACTCATTGCTGGGATTCTACCTCCTAAATTTCTCTCAAATCTATTCCTTTTTCCTCCCTCTTAGCCCCCACTGCTACAACCTTAGCAGCTGTGCACACACAATACCCTCTTTGTTTCAGCTGTTCTCTCTGCCTGGCATACCACTCCTGATATTCTCTATCTGGCTCACTATTAACCTGCCAAGTTAACATTCGCATCACTTCCTCCAGGCAGATCCTGGCTGGGCCACATGTCCTGCCCCGACATCTATGCACCCACAGTCTAGCCTACCAGAGCCTGTATTATGCACACTGCTTTGTATTCCTCTGTTTAGTCCTCTGTCTAACCTGTTTAACCTGAAAATTCAGTGAAGACAGGAACCAAAATACATGAAACAGATTTTGTGAAACAAAGTAGGCATCAAATAAATGTTTATATCACATGTGTGCAAGAAACAAACCATAACTGAACTCTTAGGATGAAGAGTTGACATATTTCCTTGCATGTATTTATAGCAAATACATGTGATATGCAGAACGATGCTATTGTACATATCCCTTTTTGTAAGAATGAGTATTGCTGTATGTCTATCATTAAGGACATATGTATGTATATATATACACACACACACATACTTGTCAGTATTTATAGAGGCATATTTAGTAGGCAAGCAGGTTAACCTACCTACATTCAAGTTATTTGTATCTGTGGTGAAGCTTTTGCTTTGGGGTCTAACAATCATAGCCTATGTGCCACTATCTGATATCAGTGTATTTATCATGCAGGTGAAACAATGAGAGGAAACGATGCCTTTTCAAAGAACACATGGGCCCAGATGGTGTGGCTCAGTGGTTGAGCATCGACCTATGAATTGGGAGGTCATGGTTCAATTCCTAGTTAGGGCACATGCCCAGATTATGGCCTCCTTCTGCAGTGTGGGGTGTTAAGGAGATAGCCAATCAATGACTTTCTCTCATCATTGCTGTTTCTCTCTCTCCTTCCCCACCCCCCTCTCTCTCTAAAACAAAAACATTTTTAAAAAAAGAGCTCATGGGAAAACCTGACCCAAAGAGAGATGGCCATGTGATAAGAGTCTGATAAAATATTCCTCAAGTTCTTTGTTCCATCACCAGTGCCACTACTCTGGTCCATCACACCCTCACCTCTTTCTGGACTAATGCAGTCATCTTCATATCAGTTTACACGCTCCTTCTGGCCTTCTTCCTACCTAGTCTCCACCCGTGGCCAGAATGGTCTTTTTATTTTATTTTTTTAAAAGTGAATCACATTCAAGCCATTCATCCTTGACTTAGACTACATCAATGGTTTCCCGTTTATAGGTCAGCATCCAAATTCCTCAACACGATATAAAGCCCTACAAGCTACCTTCCTTTCCAACCTTATCTCCCTTATCTCCAGACCTCACAATCATTGTCCCAGCCTCTCTGCTGTTCTAGCCTCCGTTCTCTGAGCATGCCATGGTCTCTTCTCACCTCTGGGCCTTCTCATGAGCTGCTCCTTGCCACTGAAATTAAATTTATTTCCTTACTCCCAGACCATTTTGCCTGTTTTCTTTTCTCATCTCCACCTTCATCTAGGAAGCTTTCCTTGTAAATCTTACATCACCACGTCTTGTCAGAAGCACCCTCAGCCTCCCATAGTCCCTGTACTTCCCTTCTCACAACCCTTGGTCACATGAGATGCAGTGTCTTATTTACTGTCTGCATATGGGCTCCATGAGTTCAGAGAACTTGTCTGTTCTGGCCTTCACGGATCCTCAACACACAGAATAGTGTCTGTCACACGACTGGTTGTCAAGAAATGTTTGTTGAATTAATTAGGTTACCATAGGAGCCCGCAGAGGCAACCCGGGGTATAAGCCGAGAGTGAAGCCCCACCATCCACCAGGAAATCCATTCCCCTACATCTCACCGCATCAATCTCATTCAGGGCCTTCCACTGCTCATAGGGGACGCCTAGGGCCTCAGCTGTCTGGATAGTCCTCTTCATGTGGCTGGTCCACACTTTCAGGGAGCTGATGCCCTGGGACTGAATGAAGTTGGCCAGGGCATAAGCATACTGCAAAGTAGGGGGTACAGATGAGGAGAAGAGGGGAGAAAGAGAAATGAAAGAAGACAGGGTAGCCATGAGAACAAGCTCAGATCTATCACACATGGTAGAATGATGATGAACAAGCAAGAACACAGTTTAAATGTTTCCAATTTATAAAAAGCCATATTCTTTCCCATGTGACTACAGATCAAGGAAATATAATAGAATATGTGAGTTTATATGTGTGTGTTTGTTGATGCTTGTTCACTGAACAACCTACTCGGTTATTAATTCCTTCAAACAGTCCACCTCTAACATTTGTGGAGACTGGGACAAGAGTGCATAGGGAGGCCCTCCATCCACAGTCCATTTCCCTTCTCTTCTTGCCTCCATCCTGCACTCATAGATGCCTTGAGTACAGGTTTGTGGATAATCCATCACATGACCAAGTTCTGCCCACACCATATCCTCTCAGATCCCCCTGATCCTAGGGGTGAACACTCCTGTGATATGGCCTACTTTCAGGTGGACAGACTCTGTGACAGGGCCACACAGGCACTGGAAATAGATACCAGACCACAGGGCAGAGATTTCTTGGGTTCTGGGTACTCAGAGTGTAGTCTAGATGTGGTGGGGTGGGATTTAGGGAATATTTCTTTTTGATTCTTTGAATTCTTACTGCTTTAGTAGGGGTGCTGGTACCAGGTTCTAACCACATTCAAACATGTGCTGAGTATGTGTGGACCTGCACTGAGTACCCGGGTAACCTGTTCTTAAGACATGGCCAGTCCAGGGAGAGAAACGGTGATGGCACCGAGAGAAACCACCAACGGTGGTGGGAGCCCAGAGCAGGCAGTGATCCCCTCTTCTCTGCGTATAGGCACGTTACTATGGGTACACATGTGTGTGAGGAGCATGGGCACAGATGCAAAAACACGGCACATGTTTACACGTCCGAACATGGGCACTGTGTGCACACACGCTAAGGGTGGGTTCTGAGTCAGCAGCAGCCAGTGTGCTCTGGTGGAAGGAGCCCTGGCTGGGGGGTAGGTGATGGGGTTGAACTGCTGCAGCTCCCTCACACAGGCTCCCTGTGCCTGGGGCGTCCCTGGCCTCTCTGGCCTGGGGCCTCCTGCCTGGAAGGTGTGAACAGCATGCGCTCACCCAGCCTGGTCTCTGCGAGTGGAGATTAGTTCCTGGGTGGGGAGAGCCCAGAGCACCCCTGGCACACGGTTGGTGAGAGCTACTGTAACGGACTTGGGAGCCAGTTCCTGGGAAAGGGCGTGGTGCCCTGTGCCCACCTGTGAATGTGGGGGCCAGGCGGGAGTGTGTCCATGCTCACATCTGTGTGGAGTGGCCATGTGTCCAAGCTGGGTGCTGAGCTAGGTGGGCAAGGCCATGGCCAGCTGCACCCAAGAGACCCCTGGCTGCAGGTGGTGCCATGAGGTGAGGGTGATGCCTCTGGTGGCCTCTGACTCTGCTCTTGAGGGGAGGCTGTCAGTGTGAAGGCCACAGAAAGGGAGCCACGAGGATGGGTGCAGTCCCTTGCCTGTGACAATGCCACCTCTGCTGTGGGGCTGCAGGGGGCAGGGGGGAAGGCCTGGTTTTCATTCCTTGCTCCCACTGTGTCTGACTTGGGGCTGCTCTCTGCTCCTATCTTGGACTCCGCTTGCTTATTCATAAACTGGTGATGGGAATGCCCACCCCACAGAGCTGCTGTGAAGATTAAATGAGGCCACAAGTGTCCAATGAAAGAGGGTGTTTCCTGTCTGTGCACCCACATCCCATTTGTCCCATCCCCAAGCGATTTCCCCAGCAAGGACCTGTGCTAACAAGCCTAGGCACAGGGCTGAACGTGGGAAAATGTGTCCCTTTATTGAGCCAGCACCCATAATGTGCAGGTCACCATGCTTAGAAGGATAGAAAAGACTCAGGCCAGAAAGTCAGAGATGGGCCAGCACTGGGAGATATGGAGCCCAGAGAATGGTAAGCTGTCTGGCGACTGGAGAGGACAGTGAAGGGCTTCCTAGACCAGACCATGGAGCAGCAACTGGACCCTGGAAGGGGGTATGGGAGGTGGGGCAGGAAGGAAGCAGTCACAGGCTGGGGATAAGTGCTGACAGTGTGATGATCTGCAGTGGGTGGAGGGGAGGGGTAGCATTAACCCTGAGTAAGGGAGGAGAAGATGGATTCAAGGGTGGGGCACTTCAGGGTAGCTGTCCGTGCAAGTGATGGTCATCAGCTGACAGAAGAAGGCAGCCTAGGTGAGGAAACTGCACAAGTAAAAACACAGAGTTTTGAGGATGATGAGGGGACCAGTTGGGTGGAGCCAAGGTGCTTATCAAGCTGGGGTTGAAGAAGCAGCGAGGTATGAGCACATGGAGTGCCAGGACCTAGCTTCTCAGCCTTGTAGCTCCTGTGGGCACTTGGTAGCATTTAAGGATGGTTGAAGATGGAGTGGCTATCAGGGAAAAAGAGTGGGAGTGACCAGAACCTGCTTCTATCCTGTCACTGAGACTCCCAATCCTCAGGACCCAGGTAGTGGCTACTCCACCCACCTGCGGCACCCCCTGGTCCAGATCAGCCAATGCCTCTGGGTACATGGGGCCTTCCCTACCTGCTTGCCCCGAGCTGAGAGGCCAGAGTCACCTCCAATGCGGCCTCTGAGGTTGAGTTCACTCTCACCATGCCGGCATAAGTAGATGGAGCGGGGTGTGACGTGGATGTTCATAAGATAGTATACTGTGCGGCTCTGGATGTGGTCCTGAACTCGGTTCACCATGTAGCGTGTGCCCACGTCGAAGATCTTGATGTAGGACAGGTGGCTGGGCCAGTCCAAGCAAGAGCAAGGGCAGTTCAGGGGCTGATGGTGGAAAGGCTAATCCCAAGAGAAACCCCAACTATACACCCTGCCTAACAAGCTTCCTCCACAACCCAGCTTTCACCAACCTTTCCTCTAACAGGATGCCATGACTTTTCTTATTCTAGGTACCTGTCTCAGAAACTTGTTTCCTGGACACCTTCAGAAGCTCACTGCCTGCTACCATCTCCCTCTGTATCCTTTTCTCAGTCTCAACTTGAGCCAGGCTGTATTTTCACCTTTACTTATCACATTCTAGGCATCTGGGGTTCTGTCTTCTGTGGTTCACACTCCTGATATACTTGGAGAGAAGCAGTAATCCTCTGTGTCTCTGGAGACCTCCAACATCTCCCCAGCAGCTCCAAACTTGTCCACTCCTTCACCCTTTCAAACCATGACCTGAGCTCTGCTTCTCTGTTCTTTGAATCTCTGCTATGATATATTGTATTTGATACTCTATAGGCAGTTACAAGGTTGTGTCTGTGTGCGCTGTGTCTCTGTGTGTATGTATCTTCCTTACTCAGAAAGGGGAACGAGTTGGATTCTTTCCCTATTGGCCAAGCAGTCAACAAATATACCATTGTCTGTTCTAAGCATTGTGCTTGGAAGTTCTTAGGCCAGTTAGGAATATATACTTAGAAATGCATGACCAATGCTCATCCTCCATTCCACAAACATATTCTAAGGTGTGTCATGTGCTGGGGCATGGGAATACAGATGTGGTTCACACCATCAGTGGGGAACTTGTGGTCCTTGCTTAGAGTCACTTTTCAGTCTCCTCTTTGTCATGAACTAACAACTATACACAGAATGATAATCAAATTATTCAACAACCTGTTTGCAGAGGAGCTTGAAATGGGGAACTTTGACTAATCAAGAATAGAACCATGGAGCAAGACTTTGAGGCACCTGTTGTGCCAGGCACTAATTCCTAAGTTGTTTTATTGTGAGGAGTTCAGGGTGATCCCTGGAAAGAGGTGAGGGAGGCTAGGGCAATGGGGAAACACACTAGCAACCTTGTGTGCACAGTAACAAAACCAAGTGAATGGAAATAGCTGCTCTACCCCAAAGCAGGCAAGGCAGTGAGCGATGGGTTTGGTTTCAGAAAGCTTCTCTGTTATTCCTAACGAAGGCCTTTCTATCTGCACCATACTCGGCATGCCCCTTCCTGTCATTCATGTCCAATGATCCCATAGGGCATTCATATTTGCTGAACATTTTGGAAGCTTCTGGCAGGGAATGCAGACTTCAAAGTGCATGAATCCTCACAACAATCATAGGAAGCAGAAATTATTATCTCTGTTTTATGGGCAAGGAAACTGAAACAGAGAGAAGGAAGTGATTTGCCTAAGGTCAACCTCTCCAAGGACCCTCCGAGCTTAAGGGTAGAAAATATATGATGTAGCATTGTTGTCTGGTTACTGTCTGTCCCTGACGCTAGATTCTTAGTGGCTCTAGGAGAATTTCCAAATTCCTCAGCTTAGTCTGACATTCTCGGTGCCTTTACACACTGGTCCTATTTGGCCTCACTGCTCCAGGCCCATGCTCATAACTTCTGTTTTACCCCAGCCTTTATGCTTTTTCTGGGTGTTTCTCTGTATTCATCTACTCTTATTCAGATTTAACTAGGCCATTAGGAAGTGCTATTCTCTTTGCTTGAAAATGTGTTCCTTGTCTGGTCTCCAAAGCTGAGCCCCTATGTATTTATCCTTCTACAGCTGGTACATTCACTCTCTCTAGGAAGACTTCTTTGAGCCCAGACATGAGAAGTCACTTAGAAAAATGTATGACAGTAGCTAATACTCCACCCTACCACATATAATTTAAAACAAAAACCATAATCTATATTAAAAGGAAGTTCTACCAAGTTCTGGTTTTATTTTTTACTATTTTGACTACCTTAATGCTGGAAATATAAAATATTAAATTATTCCAAGACTATTTTCTTCTTATTTTTTTGTAGCCTTTTTCTCGTTGGTACCCAAAACACATGTCTAGTCTACCTACTGGGTAAACCTGCTCTTCTAGACCTCTTCCTTCAAGATGAGTTGGGTGTTCCTCCAGCCCACTTGTGTGAGCATCCCTGCTATTCTGTCAACTGCATATTCACTGTCTTTCCAAACAAAATGGTCATTCTATCAGAGCAGGGACAGACTATCGCTCTTTAGGTTCCTAAAGCAGAGCTTAGGGCTGGGTCTTGAGGCATGGACTATAAATGTCTGTTCATGGAAAAATGATTAAAGTCAACCGTGATGCTCAAACTGATTCATCAAACACTGACTGAGCACCTGCAGGAATTTAGGTTGAAGGCTAGAAGGCTAGGAGGCTAGGGGATTTCTCCATGCCATTCATTCACCTCAGCTCCTCTCCTTCAAATTTCTCTCACCATAGGCTGCTAGCCTCTATGCTGCATGTGGAAACTGGAAAAGGTTACACTTTCCTCAGGGCAGAAACAGTTCCACTCCAGCACACATGCCTTGGTGAAAAAAGTAAGTATACCCTGGATCTAAATATCCCTGCACAGAGAACAATCTTCACAATTATACCTAAGGTCCTGCCCCTTGTACTGTGTGTCTAAGCCTCATGTGACACTTTGTATGACCTAGGGATGTGAGAAGGGAAGAACCAGGCTGGAAGTTTGCAGATAAGTGTCTGAGTATATATTAGGTCTAGTAATAATTAATGTCGTTTTCTAATACTTTAAATCGAATTTATTTAAACAATACAACAAAATTTAATCAACAATATAGTTGCCGTTGTTTTCTACTACTTGTGCCCAATGCTCAGGAAGCATTTTAATCTCTCTGTTGTAAAATTCTTGTGATTTTGATGCAAAAAATTCGGTCAATGCATTTTTGAGGCATTCTTCATTATTAAATTTTTTTCCAAGAAGAAAGTTTTGCAAAGAACGAAACAAATGGTAATCAGAAGGGGCAATATCAGGAGAATATGCAGGTTGAGGGAGAACTTCCCATTCCAACTGGTGCAGTTTTTCAGCAGTGATTCTTGCAGTATGCGGTCGTGCGTTATCGTGGTGAAGAATTACGCCCTTCCAATTAATCAGCGCGGGTTCTTTTTCTCTTAAAGCTTGGGCTAACCTTTCCAATTGGGCGCTATACACTGCACTTGTAATGGTTTGGTTAGATGGTAAAAGTTCATAATGAAGAATTCCTTTAAAATTCCACCAAACACACAACATCACTTTTTTCGCATGCAAGTCAGGTTTTGGCGTGGGCTGTGGAGCCTCATTTTTGTCCAACCATTGAGGCCGCCTTTTCAAATTAACATACAGCACCCATTGTTCATCTCCGGTAACAATTTGCTCTAAAAACGGCAAACGGTTTTGATGAGAGAGGAGCGAACTGCAAATTGTGACTCTGATTACGGTTGTTGTCGGTCAACTCATGAGGAACCCATTTTCCAAACTTTTGGACTTTGCCAAGTGCACGCAATTGATTGGAAATTGTTTTTTTGTGAACAATTTAAAGTTGTCGCAAGCTCTTGTTGGGTAATTTGAGGATTTTGCACCAAAAGAGCTTGAAGAGCTTCTTGATCAAAATTGGACACACGGCCTCGACCACTCTTGTCATCTAACGAAAAATTTCCCTCGCGAAATTTCTCAAACCAACGCTGGCATTTTCTGGCGCTAACTGCATCTTGACCAAGAGCACTACAGATGTTTTTTGCAGCCTCACTTGCTTTTCTTCCTAATTGGAACTCGTAAAGCATGCAGTGCCGAATATGCTCTTCATCCGCCATCTTCTTAGCCCTAGTTTTGCAACAAAAACCAAACCAAACACAAACTTTTTCAAGCAAAACTTGTTAATTGCACTTCACACGTTCTGTAGATACCACGTGTTTGAAGGTTATGTCAATACAAGTCAACGCCAACGCCAAGCAAGATTTTAAACGAATGTTAAAAACGACATTAATTATTACTAGACCCAATATTCTGCTACTGATTCATTCTGTGGCCTCAGATAAGCACTTGGGTCTCTGTTTCCCTGAAGAGTGAGGCAGTAACAATGCTCACCTCTCAGGACTTCAGTGAGACAGAGCTAAAAGGATGTTCTTTAATATTCTTAGGGTAGTATTCAGCTTGGAACCTCCTTACCCTTCTCACTTGGATTACAGAGTCTGAGTGACTCTGAAAGTCTCTTCTCATCACAACCCATTTTGAAAAAGAGTAGGGCTCAGGGAACAACCTATGTCTAAAACTTACATATTCCCTGTACTGACAGCTAACACCTCTCCTATCTTTATCTGGTATTAGGAATAAAAGTTTTAAATTTTTCATGCGTCTTCCCATATTTCAAGGCACTGTGGAAGCTACCTGAGAACAGAACCACAACCCAGAGGGACCAACTACTTATTCATTGAAGAGGTATACGTGGGCATGGTAAGAAGAGACATGGCTAAGAGACCGAATATGTGGTTAGAATCCTAGCTCTAATGGTGAGAGCGTGGGCAAGTAGTTTCAGCTCTCTAAGACTCAATTTCTTCTGAAAATGTCTGATCATAAGACCTATTTTAGTCTCCTTTACAAGGGATTCAATGAAACAAAGAATGTGAACATGTTTGGAAACTGAAATGCCATTCACAAAAATAATATTCAAAAAAATAATAGCAACAAAGGCAGGAGAAACTATAAATGTCTGTCCACACCCCCAGCAAAGATCAGGTCCCTGATATGTTATCCCTGATATGTCCATGTTGCTCAAGAAAACACGACTTCAATCCTCTTGTGAACACCTTGCAGGTCAATGAATCACCACCTCATTGATAATTAGAACTAGGAGGGTCCTTGAATACAAATCAAGTCCAGCTTCCTGATGTTACAGATACAGAAGCTGATTGAGGTCCACAGAGGGAAGAAATTTTCCTAGGTCCTACAGCATATTGAAACAGCGCTAAGCATCCAGATCTGGACTGTAGAGTTCTGGGTTCTTACCTGTCCAGTTCTTCATCCAGGGGTTGGTAGTTGAGCTCATAGCATTCAATTCTTTTTAAAAAGTCTTCCAGAACCTTTTCTCGGTCACAGTCTATGTAATCAGGGCTGCCGAGTTTCACTTGCTGGGAGAAGAGAGAAGGACAGAGGGACCGTGGAAGACAGAGACTCTGACAGTGCCCTTGGGAAGGGCCATTAGAGATCATTTAAGAACATTTATAAGAGGCCTGGAGATTGTGCCATGAGAAATGGCTGAAAAACAGGAGATCCTGGCCAGGGGTCACAATAACTCACATGTATCGAGTGTTTCCTGGGAGAATATGGCATGTTTGCTTTAGGGCTGGCATCTCCAATTCTCTCAATACCTACCTTCTCTACCCATCCCAGTGAAGGGCACTCTCATCCACTCAGTCAACAGAGCCTAAAAGGCAACTGGGAAACATCCTAGATGAGTCCCTTTTTAACATTCCCCTCCTCTCAGCAGGCACCAAAATCCTCTCCACTATATCTTACAAATATCTCTTCAATTGGCCTGTATTTTCTTTCGCCTGAATGTTCATGATAGCTTTGTGACTGATCACTCTCTAAAATCTTGTTACTTCTGCCCAGCCGGTGTGACTCAGTGGTTGAGCGTTGACCTATGAACCAGAAGGCCATGGTTCTATTCCCCGTCAAGGCACATATGCGGGTTGTGGGTTCGATCCCCAGTAGGGGATGTGCAAGAGGCAACTAATCAATGATTCTCTCTCATCATTGATGTTTCTATCTCTCTCTTCCTCTCTGAAATCAATAAAAATATATAAAATAAAATCTTGTTATTGAAAAAAAAGTTTCTGATGTATTTCCCATACTAATAGCCAGAGGATATTTCTAACTTGCAGATCTGACCATAGAATTCCCTTGCTTAAGACCTTTTACCAGTTCTCATATATTTTAGCACAAACTATGAAATATTTTAGCAGGTGACTCATGGTTTGTCATGATTGGGCTGGAAAGAATTTTTCATCTTCATCTCCTATTATTCCCCTATTTCTCTGCACACTTTGCTTTAGCCAACCCAAGCAACTTACAGTTCCCTGGAGATGCCATATTTCATACATGCTATTCTGTTATTTCCCATTCTCTGCCTGCCAAATTCCTATGCATTCTTCAAGATGCAGGTTAGCTATTGCCTTCCTTGAGAAGTTTTCCTATTGCACCTACCCCTCTCATGCAATGTTAGGTTCTTAATATTCTGTTCCCACAGCCTCCCTTATTCCCTCATCTTAGCATTGATAGCGCAGAATTATACCTATGAACTTGTCAGTCTTTCTCAAGACTGTGAGCACAAGAGCAAGATTCTTCTCTATCCATTTCTATATCTCTAATACCCAGAATGGCCCAGCATAGTGTATGGATTCATTTTCTGTTGAATAAATAAATGGATGAATAGACAAAGAAGAAAGAGAAGGATTGGGCATGTTCTGTGCCTATAGAGGCAAAAAATAGGACCAGTTGAATGGAAATTACAAGATTTCAGCTTGATTGGACTTTACTTTATCAAGGCAATGAGCCTCTTGTCACTGGAGGTATGGGGAGAAAGTCTAGACCTGTGCTCGGCAAACTGTGGCTCACAAGCCACATGAGGCTCTTTGGCCCCTTGAGTGCGGCTCGTCCACAAAATACCACAGCCTGGGAGAGTCTATTTTGAAGAAGTGGCGTTAGAAGAAGTTTAAGTTTAAAAAAAATTTGGCTCGCAAAGGAAATTTCAATCGTTATACTGTTGATTATTTGGCTCTGTTGACTAATGAGTTTGCAGACCACTGGGCTAGACAAACATTCACCTGAGATTTCAAGTATCTGATGGAGGGTTGAAGATGACTTTTAAGGTATCTTCTGTCACTGAGCTTCAGTAATTTGATGAAATAAGGAACAATAAAATACAGAAAGTGATCTAATTCTAGACCACATGCCTAGAATCTAAAAGCAGTGATAGCTCTGCTGTGAATCGTGGGGCAGAATAAAGAGTTTTTGAGGCAGATAGCCAAGTCTGAGGTCCATTCCCAGTTCTACCTCTTTCTGATGGTACAAATCCTTGACAAGTCACTTCTCTTGGAACCTCAGTTTCCAACACTGAAATTATTCCTAACATGCAGGTTTGTTGTGAAAAATCAATGAGTAAAGCTTGGAGCCTGCTGCATATTAATAACTCTATATATGTTTGCCTCATTTAATTTCATAGGAAAATTGTAGGCCACAGTTGTCATGGAATGATTCCTGTAGGAAGTGGAAAGAGAACCTTGGGGAAGAATACTTCCTTTGATCCAATAGAGGTAGTTTTAGGCATGATCCAAGCCTGAAGCAGAGTAAGGAGGGAAGGTAACTGGGAGTCCTTACCTTGATGTTTTCTGCAATGATACCAGGGTCATTACAGATGGACTCAATGAAAAACACCTATAAGAGAAACAGAAGAGAGATTTCCATCAGGGAATTATGTTTGATAGGCTTGACCCTTTCTCAATGACTCTGATTCATCACTGGGGGCATCTCTGACAACAGGATTTCATTCAGTGGTGCTTTTAAGGATTCAGATTTTTATGGGGCAGATGGGGTCTAAATTGAATGTTCCAGATTATTGCTTTGTATTTTGACTGTTTTTTTGTTTTTTTTTGTTTTAAACATGGGATCCTATAAGTAATGTCTACAAAATAAATCAGGCTTAGAAAGACAATCTTTCTTTTCTTTCTTTCTTTCTTTCTTTCTTTCTTTCTTTCTTTCTTTCTTTCTTTCTTTCTCTCTCTCTCTCTCTCTCTCTCTCTCTCTCTCTCTCTCTCTCTCTCTCTCTCTCCTTTCTTTCTTCCTTTCTTCCTTCCTTCCTTCCTTCCTTCCTTCCTTCCTTCCTTCCTTCCTTCCTTCCTTCCTTCCTTCTTTTCTTTCTTTCTTTCTTTCTTTCTTTCTTTCTTTCTTTCTTTCTTTCTTTCTTTCTTTCTTTCTTTCTCGTCACAAAGAAAACTTTTTAAAAATTCCCCTTCACCTTTTACACCCACATTCACTCTGGCAATCAAATTTGTTCTCTGTATCTATGCGTCTGTTTCTGTTTTACTTATTCATTTGTGCATGTTTTTTATATTCTATAAATAAGTGAAATCATATGGTATTCATTTTTTTTTTTACTTATTTCACTTAGTATAATATCCTCTAGGTACATCCATGTTGTTGAAAATGGTAATTTTCATTCTTTTAATTGCTAGATAATATTCCATGGTGTGTGTGTAAGTATATATACATCCTTCTTGGAGCCCTACATCTTTCTAAGAACCCAATCGCTCTCCATATGCCATATTTTCTTTATTCATCTATTGATGGACACCTACAGTAGGTTGCTTTCATATCTTGGCTATTGTAAATAATGCTGAAATAAACATAGGGGTGCATATATATTTAATTAGTGTTTTTATCTTCTTTTTTATTTATTTTTATTTATTTTTAACAGAGAGGAAGGGAGAGAGATAGAGACCTAGAAACGTTGATGAGAGAGAAACATCGACCAGCTGTCTCTCGCACACCCCCTACTGGGGACGTGCCCGCAACCAATGTACATGCCCTTGACCGGAATCGAACCTGGGACCTTTCAGTCTGCAGACCGATGCTCTACCATTGAGCCAAACTGGCTTCGGCTGTTTTTATCTTCTTTGGATAAAAAAACAGAAGTAGTATTTCTGGGGCATGTGGCAATTCTGTTTTTATTTATTTTTTTTTTAATTTTTTTTTTTTTAGGAATTTCCATACTGTTTTCCACAGTGGCTGTACTGATTTACATTCCCACCCACAATGCACGAGGATTCACTTTTCTCCATATTCTCGCCAACATTTGTTATTTGTTGGCTTTAAAATTTTTGAAATTGATTTTTCAGAGAGAGGAAGGGAGTGAGGAATATTAATATAAGAGAAACATCGATCAATTACCTGCCCCAGCTGGGAACCAAACCTTAACCTCAGTATGTGCCCTGACTGGGAATCAAATCTGCCACCTTTTGGTGTATGGGATGATGCTCCAATTAACTTAGCCACCCAGCAAGGGGTTGTTGACTTATTGACGATAGCCACTCTGACTGGTGTGAGGTGCTATTCACTGTGGTTTTGATGTTTCATGATGTTGAGCATCCTTTCTTATGTCTATCAGTCATCTGTATGTCTCCGATGGAGAAATATATATTCAGGTCTGCTACCCATTTTTCAATTGGATTTTTTTTGTTTTCTTACTATTGAGTTGTATGAGTTTTTTATATTTTGGATATTAACCCCTTATCAAATATATCACAAATATCTTCTCTTATTCAGTAGATTTTCCCCCCTCCATTTTGTTCATGGTTTCCCATGCTGGCTTTTAGTTCGTATATACTGAGTGGCCAGATTATTATGATCTCTGAAATATAATAATCTGGCCACTCAAATAAAAATATATATCAATATGTATTAGAGGCCCAGTACATGAATTTGTGCATGGGTGGGGTCCAGCCAGCCTGGCCAGGGGAAGGGGACATGGGTGGTTGGTTGGCCTTCCTGCTGGTCAAACTCCTGATTGAGGGGACAATTTGCATATTAGCCTTTTATTATATAGGCTATACATTGAGTGGCCAGATTATTATGTATTCAGAGATCATCATCATCTGGCCACTCAGTGTATATGTGTTTTGTACTGGTTCTCTCTCCACTTTCCTCACTCCAACCCCTCCACAGTGTCAGCCTGCCAGCCATCACCTTCATTGCCTAACATGGCACACCTCCTTTCCTGTTCTGTTCTGTTTTGCTGCTTCTAACCATGATCTGGAAAGCCATCTCAACCAGATTAAAACGTTGACCCTATGGTAGCTGAGTTGGCACCGATGAGTCCTCTGGTTTGCCTTTCTTTGGAGTTTGTGCTGGATCAGTAGGCTCTAGATAAGAGTGGCAGTGTTACTGTACCTTGTAACCATGTTCCTTAGCAAACTGCAAAATCAGTGACCGTCGTTCTCTGGTAGTGTTGGTGGCATCAAAAACCTAGAGGCACATGATGAGATTGGTTTACTGTGAGTCTGGTGCTGGTAGAATGCCTACTCTTTGAGCATCCCTGTATTTAGCCACGTGGAGTGCTACCAGGAAAGAGAACTTGGACTTGGTGACAAATGATAGGAAAGATTTGGAATTGGATTGTGTCAATTTCTCAAGTACTCATTGAGTCCTACTGTTGCTCCCAAAATGTAGCAGGCTTTGTAAGTATAAGACAAGAAAAATTGTGGGGTTTTAAAAAATATATTTTTACCAATTTCAGAGAAGAAGTGAGAGGGAAAGAGAGACAGAAACATCAATGGTGAGAGAGAACCATTGACTGGCAGCCTCCTGCAACGTGGGCATGTGCCCTGATCAGGAATGGAACCATGACCTTATGGCTCACAGGTCGATGCTCAACCATTGAGCCATGCTGGCCAAGCAAAAATTGTGGGTTTTTATTAGGGTCATTATACAGGTGAAGTAGCTAGCCTTTGAGGAAGGATTTGCCTTAACCGAGGTCACTGAGAGTTGCTGACAGAACAGAGTTTGAACTGATTTCTCATCGTCTAGGTGAGGCATCTTCCTTCCTTATCACCCTGGAGCCCTTTAAGAACAGGAAACAACTCACAAGGTCCAGCACCTTAGACGGGACAATTTGCATATTTGAGGATCTTTTCCCCTTTTAGAATTTGCAAATCCTATTTCAAAAGCCTGAGATTAAATTGACTAAAATGTTTAGGTAAATCTCAGAACTCAAAATGTTTTACTGTAGTTTAAATTTTAGTGTACTGCTGCTAATTTTTTGCGAGTCAGGTGGGAGGTATAGTAGTTAACTGTATATTTAGGAGTCACAACAACTTGGATTACAGTTCTGTCCTGCCACATACATACTGTACCATTTTTGGAAATTATTTAATCTCTCTGTGTGTCATTCTTCTGGGATATAAAGTGGGGTATAATACCTATCTCATAGGGTAAGGTGGAATTAAATTAATATGTACAAAGTACCTAGAATAACGTGTGGAACACAGTGAATGCTCAATACACATATTAACTGTTCTCCATCCCAGCAGAAACCGTAGGGAACAATACAAGTTTCTTTACCGCAACGTGGCCTTCCTCACGGCTGAGATAATCATGGACATCCTTCAGGGCTGCCAGAGCACACCGCCTGTAAAAGGAGAGAGAAACAAACAAGACCCATCCTCAAGATTGGCTCCTCTCCATTTTCCTGCAGTATCTTTTGCACCATCTCTCAGATGTCCTAGGTTAAATTATTCCCCTATTAAACATCTACACAAGGTGTCCTATCTTCTAGGCACCATGACAAGCACAGAGATGTCACACAGGTTACAGTGGTTCTGTGTGGACATCTTAGGGGCAGGTATAAAGTGGCATGCCCAGGAAAAACAGAATGACAGAAGACATATTATTAAAGGCTCCATTCCTTGAGTTACTAGAGCTCAAGCTGAGCTGCTTCTTGAACCCAGTTAGAGCCCAAGTATATGGTCTGTGAAGGAGAAGGCATTCCTGACACGGATACCAGTGCAAGGACATGTATGGCATTGGCAATGTATTTATGGTTTTGGTATAAATCTATTAAGTGATTACTCTTTTCAAGGTTCTATTATGAAAGCATGGATCAATAAGTGAGACAAGGGCTCTTTTCTGTAAGTGCTCAACCTTGAAGTTGAATGGATGTGATTGGAGAGATTGGAATATGCCAAGTTACTGAGACTCTTGCCTCAAATATTAGCCTGAAAAGTTTCCATTCTTTCCTGTCAGAAGTAAGATACTGTTCAAAGTTTTTAAGCAGGGGATAGCTATGACCAGAAACATATTGTAGGTAATATGGTAGAAGGGCTGTCCAAACCACCCTTTGAGAGTCTAGAGGGCCTCCTTGATAACCCTCATGGCTCTGCCCTAGTCCCCCATCACCTGAACAAAGCCCTCCCTCAGCCAGGGAGCAGCACAGGTCCCTAAAATGTTAGATACTTACTTCCTGATAAGTAGGGCCTCCATGTTGTCTGGAAGAAAGAATTCGTAGTTCTTGTAGCTAACTGCCTCTCGTCGATACTGGCCTAAATTAAACACTGAAAGCAGGGAACACTGATGAAGAGTTTGGGAAGATCTCAGTAGCAAAAACATGTCCTTGTTGGGAGGGAATTTAGAGGTAGAAGGAGGTATAATTTATAATCATATCATATGCTTATAAAGCTTTAAATTTTGTCTACCATATTATTTATTATTCACAACAATCCTGCAAAGTGGGAATCACCATTTCCATTTTACAAATGAGGAAAGTGAAGTTCAGAGATGGTAAGTAACACCATAGTTAATTAGTGGGGAACTGGAATTTAAACTCAGAGCTGTTTGGTTCCAAAGCTGGTTGTCTTTTCACTAGTTTAGTTTATCATAAACTCCAACCCTTTTCATGCCCTACTCCACTGGAAAGATAAAGACACTGAGATCCAGTGAGTAAAATCAATCACCAAGAGTCAAACAGTGAGTCAGAACTAGTTTGGGCTTTCTGAATCATAGTCCAATGTTATTACATTTTTCTGTATCCTGACAGAGAAACTAAATTTAAGCCCTCCCTAAGCCATATTTCTCATTTGTAATGGGAAAAAAAAACAGAGAGGAGGGAAGAAAAGGGGATAATAGGCAATGAGGTAAAGTAATATTTCATGCATTCAACTAATACATTTTTTTAGACGTACACTCTGTGAAGGACATGACTCCTGGGGTCTCAGAGATGAACCATATTTGTGTGATGAGGCTCTCAAAGTCCTCAGAATCCAGCAGACAGGACAGAGAACAAATCAGTAAACAGAGATCTCATCCAGTTTGTTAAGTGCTCTGTCAGAGCCATGTAAAAAGTAAGGGGAAAGGAAAGGTTAACTTTGGGTGATCTGAGGCTTCTTGGAGAAAGCAGACTTGAATTAATCATTTGGGGGGGCAGGCCTTTTATGGGCCAACATGGGAGATGGGGGAGGGAGCAAAGGCAATTTCAGGTAGAGGAACAGCTTGAGCAAAGAAAGCTAGGGCATTGGAGGAAGGCAGAGCATGTTTGGGGGATTGTGAGTCATCCACTGTGACTGAGGCCTGAGAGACTTGCAGGGGATGATTGTAGAAGTCCTTGAACAACAGGCCAAGGAGCTTGGAGTTAAGACCCATCCACCACTGGGTTATGTGCCTCCTATACTCAGGAGAGGCTCCTGTGAGCCAGCAGGCCTCCAGGAGAACTGTTCCTTCTGCCCTCTGTTCTGTGAATGCCCTACTTCTCCCACAGGACTCAGCTCAAATATAACCTACCTGGAAGCTTTCACTGCCTTCCTGTTGGTAATTTCCCCTATGATCCCCCTCACTATCCTAATCTGGGATTCCTAGGTGACATGAAGTACTCTTATGCATCACAACCAGATGGAGAACTCTTCAAGAATAGGGTGCGAATTGCATCCATTTTTACACCTCCAATGCCTAGCATGGGTTTGGCACATGGAAAAGCATTGGGAAACTCTTCACTAGTGAATTAAAGAAAGTGCATTAAGAGAAAGAAGAAATGGAAGGAAGAGAGGAGGAGACTTGGTGGAACGGGGGGTTGGGAATGGGGCAGATAAATAAAGGTGTTGGGATGGCAAGAGAAAGGAGAGGAAATGAATGGAGGAAGGGAGGGTACAGGGCCATGTTGGATTCTTTTCTCTTCCCATCAGTAGAGCCAAGTATGAGCCGTGGTACAGTGAGTGTCAGGGTTTGGAATCACGTAAATATGGGTTCATATCCTGGGTCTGTCACTTATTGGCCATGTGCCCTTAGACAAGACACTTCACCTCCCAGGAATTAATTTTATCAACTGTGAAATGATGATAACAGTTCCTCATTCCTGGGTGTTTTAAGAACTTAAGAATAGCTGTGCGTTCTGTGAGGACAAACATCCGACTTACTTGTCTTTGTTTGCCCAACATCCAACAAATAATTAATGCTTGAGTGGATAAATGAATGCCAAGGAGACCTGTTTTCTGCACTGGGGAGTAGTGTGCTCCATTTTACTAGAGAAATCTAACTACTTGCCATGTAAAGGAGGAACATGGCCCAATAAAAATATTCAGCTATTCGATATGTTGATATTCTTTAAAAGCATCAGCATAGTCATTAGGGAATAAATAAATTTGGTATTTAGTTTTAATCTTGTCATCCTTGAGAGACAGAAATAAATATGATCTAGTCCCTTGCCCCCTATAGCAGGTCCGGGGGAGAGATACCCAGACACACACTATAATAACACACGATGCCATTAGTGTTGGCATACAGGGGACTGTGGTAGGGTTTGTATGGGAGCTCAGATGCGCACGGTCTTGCAAAAATGGAGCTCCTTGAGGTAAGATATTTAATCTTACTAGTTTTCCTGCCTAGACCCTAGCCTTAGGTAGGGCACAGAGTATGTGCTCAAGAAATTTGAAATTTTATAACAGTATAGTGGTAGTGGTAGTAGTAGTAATAGCAGTAGCAGAAGCAGTAGCAGTAATAGTCCACATTCTATTAATAATTGAGACTTCCCTGGTACTGAGGCATACTACCTTACTCTGTTTCCAGCCAGTAGCCTGTAGGGGGCTGTATAACAAAAGGTTTCAGAGACTTACCTTTAGTTGGTGTTCCTATCCAGTTCAGATATCGAGTGAGCTTCGTAGAGATGTAAGTCTTTCCTCGAGCTGGTAAGCCCACCATAATCACCATTGTGGGGGAATTGGTAAACTGGGGTATAGTTGCTGGAAGACAAACAGAGCCTCAAAAACTTGTCTCCAGGTTCATATGATCTATTAATAGTATCAACTCAGGGATGCAGAATTTTATAACTGTATAAAAATCCCTGGAAATTGCAAATTGACTTCTCTTGAATTAATCAGAAAACTGAGATTGCAGTGCAAACATCTAACCTAAAATCTGTAGAGACAAGTTTCTTCACGGACAGTATTCAGATCATTGTTTGTCTTTCAGAGATACTACTGAACAACATATAAACTCATAAGAAATTCAACTAAACATGGCTAAGGAATTGCTAAATATTAGCTGTAGGCTAGTGTAAGATGTGAAGACCCTGGGGGTTGTAGACATAGGTGGTTTTGCATCCTCTTGTAGACTTTTTCCTTTAGGAATTCCACCAAGTGCTGACAGGGTAGACTGAGAAGAATCCTGAGAAATATATTTTATTCTGGCTTGGGATGGGAAACAAAACAGCAACTATTTGCTGAAGTTTTCCCCCAGACCATTCTCTCTACATACCCTATGGTAGAAAAAAAGCCCTAATCATCACGGGGGAAAAGGCAATAAAACTGTAGCTTGAGAGCACAGGAAAAGGAGGGAGTGTTCCCAACTACTTTTATGATTCCAGAGTAACCCTGGTACCAGATATACCAAAATAAGACTAACAGAATGCCAAAAAGCCCTAGAGTCCAGTATCTCTCATAAACTTAAATGCAAAAATCCTCATGAAAATATTGTAAAATAGAATCCAACATCACATAAAAAGAATCATAGTGGAATTCTGTTCAGGTATGCGAGATTAGATGAATGTTCAAAAAAGTCAATCAATATAACCCATGATATTAACAAACTAAAAAAGAAAAATATATCAATTCGTGGAGAAAAACACTTCATAAATTAAACGCCCATTAGTAATAAAATGTACGGCAAGTTAAGAATAGAGGAGAATTACTTAAACTTGATAAGGGACCTCTATAACAAAACCTACCATCGTCATTACCCTTGAAAGTGCAAGCCTGAATGCTTTTCCCATAAGATTAGAAACAATGTAAAGATGTCCATGCTACAGTCTTTAGACTTAGTACTGAAAACTCTAACCAGTGCAATGAAGCAGTAGAAGGAAATAAAGGGCATATAATTTGAAAAAGAATCAATAAAACATTCCATATATGTAGATGTCATAATTCTATACATAGAAATGCCTCCAAACTATAAAAAACCCCACTTAGAACTAGGAAGTAAATTCAGCATGGTTGCAGGATACAAGGTCAACTCAAAAAATCAATTGTGAGACTTTCACTTCCATCATTAAGAGCTCCATGTGCCGAAACCAGTTTGGCTCAGTGGATAGAGCATCGGCCTGCGGAGTGAAAGGTCCCAGGTTCGATTCCAGCCGAGGGCATGCACCTTGGTTGTGGGCACATCCTCAGTGGGGGGGCATGCAAGAGGCAGCTGATCAATGTTTCTAACTCTCTATCCCTCTCTCTTCCTCTCTGTAAAAAAAAAATCAATAAAATATTTTTTAGAAAAAGAGCTCCGTGTACCTGCTCTCCCAGTGAAACAAGCAAAGCTGGCAAATATGAAAACAAAAATAGGGCAATCAGTAAGTAGTAGAGCCTAGAGCATAATAGCAGTTGAGACTGACAGCTTAATAGATCAGGGAAAGATAGTCAATGTGAGCCCAAAGACTCCAGGAGCAACACCACAGGGAAACAGACTTAATTAAAATAGCCTAACCAAGTCCTAGAGCAAAGAGTTATACAGATATGCATTGCTTAATAGTAGGGATATGTTCTGAGCAGTGTCATTAGCCAATTTTATCCTTGTGTGAACATCACATATTTCACTTACACAAACCTAGATGGTATAGCCTTCTATACACCCAGGCCATATGGTATAGTCTATTGCTCCTAGGCTGCAAATCTATATAGCATGTTACTGTACTCAATGGTAAGTATTTGAGCATCTAGACATAGAAAAGAAACATATGAAGAAATTTACTCAAAATGGATCAAAGACCTAAATATAAGAGCTAAAACTATACAACTCATAAGAAAACCTGGGCATAACTCTTTGTGACTTTGGATTAGATGTTTTCAGGGATATAATACCTAAAGCAAATCCAACAAAAGAAACAACAGGTAGGAGTCAAGACAGTCTTTCCAATAAATGGTGCTGGGAAACTTGGCCAGATATATGCCAAAACAAAACAAAACAAAACAAACAAACAAATAAACAAAAAATTATATCACCAACTTACACCATACACAAAAGTAAACTAAAAATGGTTAAAGGACTTAAATGTTAGATGGGAAACCATAAAAACCTTAGAATACTCCTTAGGCAGCAAAATATCTGACATATGTTGTAGCAATATATTTACCGATACAGCTCCTAGGGCAATGGAGATTAACGAGAAAATAAACAAATGGGACTACATCAAAATAAAAAGCTTCAAGCAAACAAAAAGAAAGCCCACTGCATTGGAGAACATATTTGCCAGTGTTATCTCCAAAATTTACAGGGAACTCATACAATTTAACAAAAGGAAGATAAACAATCCAATCAAAAAATGGGCAAAGGACCTAAATAGACACTTTTCAAAAGACGACATACAGAAAGCTGAGAGACATATGAAAACATGCTCAAAGTCACTAATCATCCGAGAGATGCAAATCAAAATGACAGGTACCATCTCACACCTGTCAGAGTGGCTATCATCAACAAATCAACAAACGACAAGTGCTGGCGAGGATGCGGAGAAAAAGGAACTGTCATGCACTGCTGGTGGGAATGCAGACCGGGGCAGCCACTGTGGAAAATAGTATGGAGTTTCCTAAAAAAAAAAAAAAAAAAAAAAAAAAAAAAAAAGAAACTCCCATTTGACCCAGTAGTCCCACCTCTGGAAATATATCCTGAGAAACCAGAAACACCTATCAGAAAGGACATACGCACCCTTATGTTCATAGCAGCACAATTTACAATAGCTAAGATTTGGAAACAGCCTAGGTGCCCATCTGCAGATGAGTGGATTAGAAAACTGTGGTACATCTACACAATGGAATACTACGCTGCTATAAAAAATAAGGAACTTTTGCCATTTGCAACAACATGGATGGACCTAGAAAGCATTATGCTAAGCAAAATAAGCCAGTTGGAGAAAGATAAATATCACATTATCTCACTCATATGTGAGGTAAATGAACAACATAAACTGATGAACAAAAAAAATAGATCAGAGACAGAGAAACACTGAACAGACAGTCCAGCCTCAGAAAGAAGGTGTGTGTGTGTGTGTGTGTGTGTGTGTGTGTGTGTGTGTGTGTGAGGGGAGGTAAGAGAGCAACCAAAGGATTTGTATGCATGCATATTAGCATAACCAATGGACACGGACACTGGGGCAGTGGGGGCTTGTCCTAGGGGAAGCAAGTGATGGTTGGGGGGTTCAATCAGGGAAAAAGGAGACATATGTAATACTTTAAACAATAAAAAAAAGAAGGAAACAATAGTTAAATCTCACTTCATCCAAATGAAAACTTTGTGCTTCAAAAGATATTGTCAAGAACATGAAAAGACAACTCACAGTAAATATTTACAATTCATATATCTGATAAGAGCTTAGTTTCCTAAATATATTTTTAAAAGCTCTTACAAATAAATACAAATAACTTACTTTTTTTTAAAAAAAAAATGGGCAAAATAGCCCTAACCGGTTTGGCTCAGTGGATAGAGCGTTGGTCTGCGGATTGAAGGGTCCCAGGTTCGATTCCGGTCACAGGCATGTACCTTGGTTGCGGGCACATCCCCAGTGGAGAATGTGCAGGAGGCAGGTGACCTATGGTTCCCTCTCATTGATGTTTCTAACTCTCTATCCCTCTCCCTTCCTCTCTGTAAAAAAAAAAAAAAAATCAATAATATATATATACACGTATGTATTTAAAAATGGGCAAAATATTTGAACGGACATTTCTCCAAAGAAGATAAAGAAATGGTCAATAAGTACATGAAAAAATGCTCAACATCATAAGTCATAAATGAAATGCAAATGAGAATCACAATGAGAAATTTCCTATCCACTTATGATGGCTACAATAAAAAAAAATGGACAAGTGGTAGTGAGGATATAGAAAAACTGGAACCCTCATATGCGGCGTTGGGGAATGTGAAATGGTGAAACTAATTTGAAAATAGATTGGCGATGTCTCAAAGTATTCTACAGCAGCCCCCACTTATTCTGGGTTTTGCTTTCCGTGGTTTCAGGTACCCATGCTCAGCCATCGTCTGAAAATATTAAATGGAAAATCCCAATAACAAACAATTGGTAAGCTTAAAATTGCACACAATTTTGAGTAGAGTGATGAAATATCACACCACCCAGTTCCGTCCTGCTCAAGACATAAATCATCCCTTTGTCCAGCATATCCATGCTGTGTACCTGCCAGTCATTTAGTGGCCTTCTCAGTTACCAGATCAACGTCATGGTAGCAAACTGCTAGTGTTCAAATAAGCCTTATTTTACTTCATGATGGATCCAAAGCACAAGAATAGTGTTGCTGGCAATTGGGATATGCCAAAAGAAGCTGTAAAGTGCTTCCTTCAAGTGAAAGGTGAGTATGGTACCCTATGATATTTTGAGAGAGACCAAATTCACGTACCTTTTATTGTCACATTTATTATCATATATGTTATAATTATTTTGTTTGCACTGGCCATTGTTAATCTCTTATTGGAATTAATTGGTCAATTAACCGTTATCATAGGTCTGTGCGTGTAGGAGAAACATATTATACTTAGGTTTTGACACCATCTGTAGCTTCAGGTATCCACTAGGGTATTAGAACATACCCCTGTCCGGGGTCTACTGTATATAGAGTTACCATATGACACAGCAATTCCACTCCTAGGTATATACCCAAGAGAAATAAAAGCATATGTCCAAACAAAAAGCTCTACAAGAATGTCCATGACAACATTATTCACAATACCCAGAATTGAAAACAACCCA